TTACTGAATATGCTGCCAATAAGGTAAATCTGTTAGCTGTGCCCGACGAGTTATTTATATGTTGTCCTTTCTGAAGACAGGTTATGTTCAAAGTTATAAATTACGATTTTTCCCGTTTTGTTTGAGCACAACAAGAAATCGCCACTGCGCCCGCGTTGTTTGCAATTGAGCCACATCACACAAAAATTAGTAATGACGCATCACACATCAAAAATTTGCGCAATGTCTCGCATCTAGGCGCTGACTCATCGTAAAATAAATTTCTATAAAATTTAAATGACTGGAAATTAAAAAAAATGTAATAACCTTTTCACTTTCATAAATATTCCTATCTGTAGCATATTTTCTCACCTCTTCCTTCACCAACCAGGGATTTTCTTTTCTTATCTCTCTCTTATTTCTGAAATTCAGAGTTTGCATACGTAATTTCCAGAATACATAAGAAAAAGTGGATGTGCAATTAATTTCTAGCTTTGAATCTCAATAATCCAATGGAATTATAATCAACACACATTATTAGCACACAAATCCTCAGTATGCACCTATGGATTGGCGTATCCTTCTAGCTACTATAGTATACAACTTACAGCTTAGACCTCCAGTAATGTCATATCTGAAGCAGATTTTACATCACATCAGAGCCAAACATTGATAACTGAAGCATCATGACGTTTAGGCAACACGTACAACTACAAAACGATTTCACAGCGTGTCCATCAGCTAGTATCAAGTTAATATCTTGTAGAAAAACCTACATAATGTTACAAAAAAAATAATACAATGTCAAAAAAAATCGATATAATGTCACTTTTCAAGACAGGTAATACCCGTACCGATAACATCATGATTCGGGAACTAGACGATCCCCCGGATTAAGTAATGTTTCCTGCGACAAGGCTACACTTTCGTCCAAAAGAGCTTGATGAAATTCCCGTTTTTTTGGGAACGTCCCTCAGACCCAAACAATTCCAAAATAGAATTTTGATATATGCTGGCTGTCTGCTATTGTACCTACGAGTAGCCATTTAGTGGCTGGAGACGTATTGCCTGCAAGGCCTGAGTGGCGCTAATCAGGGGGCTAATAATTTGTTGTGAAGACCTCAAAGCGGTTCGCACATGTGCGCGCCGCTTGTCCTGTATGAGGGCACAAATGTGTCATGTGTGTCAGTAGGACTGCGCGAATCCATACCTCTCGCAGCGATGACTGCCCAATAAGTCCAGTGTTCTTTTGAACCTCTGCTCGGATTGCCAGACCCAGTAGCTCGTGATCGTTAAAAATCTACTGCGACTTGTCAATCTTAGGCAGTATCATCACCACCAGAGGCATAGCAACGCCGCCTGCCGCCGTTTCGCTTGAGGCAAATTATGTGTTAAGGAGAGTAGCCCTTCTGCTCCAACTCCTTATACCTCTTATTATGGCGTGTATATTTCCTTCAGATGGAAACGGAAATGTGTGGTGTGGTACCTCTTCCTCTTTGAAAAGACGAATTACCTTCCTATAGTCTTTTTCTGCTTTAGGTATAGAGCGAATCCCCACGTCAACGGCGACCGCTCGCTCTACTTTAACGCCCAGACTTATAAATTTGTAACTTAGCATCCGCCACCGCGCAGTGTCCCGCAGAACGATCGGTGTGATTCACGCTACCCCGATGTCTCAATGGCGACAGTACGGGGTGATGAAGGCAAAGCAGTAGCAATGTTAGCTTGAGGGATTGGTTGAATAGTGGAAGAAGGCACGGGAGAGCTGTTGGTAGTTGTCTTGGATGACAGTGGAGGGATTGGTCAGTTACGTTTCGTTTCCTGTCTTACTGGAGTGAATCCGTCTTCGTTTGGTACTTTGGGGGTTAATTGTTCTATTCTGTCATGCAGTGCGGTTATTTGGGTCGCTTGGTTCTTGATCATTTCCATAAGCTGCTGAATTTGGATCTTTATCTACGATTTTGACATCCCTAAGTTCCGCCACAGGTTCTAACAATTTTTCTTTTTTTTTTTTCATCATTGGCATTGTTTTTTGAATCAGTTTTGCTTGGGGCGGTAGCTGGATCTCCTGTGGACCAGTCGCATTATATTTTTAACTTTATATGAAAATCTCTCTAACGCAAAAAATTTGAGTTTGACTCACGTTCCCTATACAGTGCACTATACTGATCTAGCTCTCCTCAAGATCTCTCTCTTCAAGATATTTTTGTCAACATACCAAACACAGAAGAACAGGCGAATTGCAATATTTGGGAAGCTATTCCAAATATTTCTGCCAAAACCTACCAAGTACACTAAAGTAATGGAAAACATAATCAGACCGGTGTGGCTTCGAACGACGTGCATTTGTATGAATTCATTTTTCATACATAACTTCTGAGCTTCAACAAAAGATCGAGATAAAAAGATGGTTCTATTAATAAATCAGTTATATACTGACCACCTTGTAGCTTGATCCTAAATTGTGCAGAACACTATCTCTATTGCAGAAGCAATTTACTTCTGATATTATAGAGGTAGAACTGATGGAAATCCATCCATACACATTTTGAAATAGTAAGATTTCAGGTCCAAGATATATGATTACACCATTATGCAGTTGTGAAAATACAATAATATGTGTAATGTTTTAGCATCCTTACTTTCTGCAGTTTTTTCAACTTGCTCCTTGACGGCATCGATATTCATAGTCATACGCTCCCGCTGCTCTGTTGCCCTTTTTGCTTTCTTAGAGCCGAACTGCTTATTCAGTTCTGATACAGATTTATCCATTGATTCCATGCTATAATTCAGCATACTATTTTCTTTGTAAATTTGTGGGGCTACTGAACAGTGGTCTACTTCTATCAGTTTTACCTATAAATTTGGAGAATGCATATTAGCTCAACTCAAAAACGGCTCGCATTCTCAAGGACCCCTTTAACACGATTGGAAATGAAGGAAAATCTCGCAAATGGGTTGCATACCAACATATGTAAGATTCATGTTAAACTTCAAAAAATCAATTTGCATAGAGTTATCATCATGCCATTTTCATAAATATTTTGGGGCTGGTTTACTTAAAAAAACTCATGATTCACTGTTTCATCTGATTCAGCTTTGTTTGATGAAAAAGGTGGGATTAGAGAGTGTCAAAATCAGCAACGTAAAGTGCATTTTGACATAATCTTGAAATGATTACATAATTTTTCTCAGCACTGATGAGAAAGGGATGTCAAATTGACTTTGTACTTCTCATTCAATTCTGTTATTAATTAGATTATATATTATACTATAAACCTCCATGTTTGTCTGGAAGATAAATAAGCAAAATATAATTTCATTAGAATTGTCAAGTGTACTTGGAAAAGCTCACTGTTGTGATCAAAATGTTGTAATCAGTAAATGGCATATTTCAAGTATATGTGGTTTCATTTAGGGGCCAGACAAACATGAGGAATTCTCAGCATGAAAACCACAGAATAAGTTTCAGGTGTGATGCTGACTATATGTGTTAACTATATCTACGCCAATTGTTGTACACTAAATACATGGCAAATGTATGGACTATGTATACAGGGTGAATGTGCCAGTAACTCAGACCCTACCAATACTTGGACAAATGGTATATTATTGGTAAAAACTCCTATACTTGCTGGTAATTGGCACCAGACTTATCAACTAATTTGTGATAGTTTACAAAAACTTGACATCCACAGTTGTCATATTAACAATAGTATTAGCGCATTAAAACAGTATGCATCTGATTCCTCAATTTTTGTCATTTGTGTAGTGAGTGACATAAACTATACAGGCAAGTAGAATCATCAGATGACAATATATAAATACTGTTCTTCTTCTTAATTTGTTACTTTAACATTCTGTAATATCTATATTACATGGACTCAGTATGAGTGTGTTTAATTTCTTTTCCTCAAAGTCCGAATGACAACTGATTTGAAATTCATATTCTACTATAACAAATTCATAAATAAGGTCTAAAACTGGCCAATCAAATGCTGTCCGACATTTGGAAACTCACTGGCTGACTAAGAGCACCTTCTGCCCGAATGCTAGCAAAATAGCACATTATTGATTAACCTCCACCTCCAAAATCATTAATTATGTTATCCAACACAAAATTAATAATCATACTTTGTATTCCACTTTTGTCTAAACTGTCAGACCACAGGCATATTCAACCTATATAAATATAAAACGACAGATGTTACAAAAAATACCTCACTAATATTTCAGCTACCTTAATAGCAAATTTGTAAATTCATCAGCCAGAAAGAAAACAAATGTGACATGCAACAGCAAGTAAAATAATTACTTATGGATTTGCCCCAGATAAGCACAATTCATTTATAGTCGTGAGATAAATAAGTTCGTATAAAGTGCCACAAACCGTATTGTTCTCCTCATTGTGAACCATTATAAAACTCGTATATTCCTCGTCACTACAAACATCCCCTGTGTATAATACTTTCTCAGAGGAAATACTGACGAATTCTCTACATTCCTTATCTTTATACATGCCGGTCTTCAGTGTATTTTCTTGTCCAGGTTCAATTTTTCCATTCTCAAAATCAACTATATTAAAATATATAGATATTACTGTGATAAGTCCAATAACATGAGATACGTTACCTATAACCGCTTTTGAATTGGAAGATTTAGTGACAATTTCTTCTATTATTGGCATTTTGATGGGAATATTTAAAAATTTTCTCAAATGCAGCGCCGTTATGGTTTTATACGTTTTTATACATTTAAATACTTAACCTACAAATCAGAAAACACAAAACATGCTACTGCTACTACTGCTACAAACTGACGTAGAGCATAGATGGAAAGTTGACCTAGATATGTCACATTAGCTAAAAGAAGAGTAGCAAGTTTTCTGGAAGTTATTCAGGTTATTTATTCATATACCTAGATGTTATACTGCCATCAAGATCAAGATCCCTATTTTGCGGCCAGCATTGATGAAATAAAATCAGTACAGGTATCGTGAATACCGATACTAACTTGAAGGAGTAAAGTGTCAGTCAGGCGAAAACGGCGGTGCTTGAGCTTAACTAGTAGAAGAGTATACTGGCTTGTGGCTTCTGCTTCTGATTCACATCACAAAACATCTAAAGACAGAATTATTCATCGTGACATGATCGTTTCCGTTGACAGATTACCAGGATTGCGTCATATTTCGGCATTTATTAATCCTTCTTATCAGATTTCCTTACAATTTTGCAAACCGGATAAGCATGGCATCAATATTAAGATCCTCTAAATTTGTGAGATATATCGCTGGTTTCGCCAGAAACATAGTAGTGAACACACCTAGAGAATTTGACGGTAATTTCGTAAATAGTGCACAATGCTTTTGCGGCTCTTCCCCAAGGTAAGACATACATAACCTATTGAAATTCATTTTATAATTATTTTGTTGTGTTTTATTTTAGAAATCTTGCTACCCAGACGTCAGTCCTTACAGATCAAAACCTTGAAACCAGTCTGAAAAGAATCGACCAAGACGTAAGAAAATCGGGTCGAATATCTCGTAGAGACATTGAAGATGTCCTGGAAGAGATCAGGATCGCCAGATCAGCGACCAGCTCACAGTCCTTACTTGTTATCCGGTGTTGTGGTAACCTTGTCCCTGAGGAACTCCCTGAGACAAGAACCAAACTGGTACAGGAGATATGGAATACCTTAAACAAACTGAATGTCCCAATGGACATATCACATTACAATGCCCTTTTGAGAGTATATCTAGAGAATGAACACAAATTCTCCCCAACTGAGTTCCTCAGTGAAGTAGAGAGCAAGGGTATAGAACCTAACAGAGTTACTTATCAAAGGTTAATTGCAAGGTATTGCCAAGATGGTGATATAGAAGGTGCTACAAAGATTCTGGAGTATATGAGAGAAAAAGAAATGTCTGTTAATGAAAATGTATTTAATGCATTGATTGTGGGACACTCCAATGCTGGGTAAGTTTATTTCCTATAATATTTCATTGTAGTAAAATATAATAGTTTGGCATCAAAGGTGAAATAAAAAGGTTTTTTAATATGTCAAGATATTACTAAAATTGCCATATTAATATAATAAATAACAAGAAAATGTTTCGACATATTTTTGTGCCTACCACATTTGTTGTATAAAGGTCTATATTAAATGAAAGTGTAAAGCATTGTTTAAGGGGAAGCTGCATATGGTATTTTTCACAAGTACCCATTACATTTTAACATCTACTCTCTATGTCTCTACTGAGGTGAACAGCTGATCATAAAAGTGACATCTTTGTATTAGTCTGTAATGTTGGCAATAATGAATTTCAGGACCATATTCAGAGCTATTGTTCACATATCTAGATTATACTTTTAAGTGATCAAAATGTGACAATAAAATGTACAAAATACAGATATATAAATGTTTATTTTAAAATTATTGTAGTACATCTGGGATATATTGATTAGGATGTAAGTGAATAGAACAGTATGCATTGTCCTTTCCAGAAGCTGTAATTTATTCTGTAAGAATAATATCATGTTTTTCTGGTCTATTGTCTGTCATCAGTGTAACATAATTCAAATAGGGTCAAGAATGTGCAGAGCCTATCATAAAAATTAATAATATAGTTGTACATTTTTCTAATTTCTAACTTGAGTAATGTTCAAACCTAATTCAGGGAATCGAACCTCTATCAATTCGGTCATATACTGCTCAATCATTTGTATGGCTCTTTCATTGTAGCTTAAAATCATATGGTGTTTCAAGATCTAAAAAATTGAGATGATTTACAAAGTCAAAAGCTTCGTATTATTTTATTCCTACCTGACTTGAAATGTAGTCATGATCATTAGTAGCCATTATGATTGTAGCATTTTTTATATACAAAAGAACTTTTATAATTAAAAGTAATGTTAGCAAGTACAAAATTAATCTGTAGCATACAAAAAAACACCACAAAATACAGATGTCACAGCTTTAATTATGTGTCACTTGTCATTATGGGGAGTTTTGAAGTATCACTAGGTAATCATCTATCTTGTTGAGTAGTGTCATCAGCATATAGCACTAGATGTTGAGTATTGTATTTGAAGATGTTGTTTATAAAAATAAAAATTATGAACAAAGTGGGGCCCTGAGGTACCTCTAACATAACCATCTGAATGTTTGACTTCTCTTTGTCCAGTGCTACATACTGTGATCTGTCATCTAGGTATGGAGGTACAAGTTGAAGACTGTTATTATCAAAGCCATATCTGGACAGTTTAAAGCTAAAGAAACAGGGGATTTTAACAATACTGGTTTTTTTGTGTATGACGAACATTTGACTGGAAACGTTCAGTTTTAGACTCAAAAAAAGGCAATCATTTAACCACAAATAATGATTAACTCCTCGAAAATCCCCTACGTATTTTTCGTCAAAATGCTATTTTAAAGATATTGTAAAACAATGAATAACAATTGTTTGAGTCATGCTGAAAAGTCGTGTTCCGAGAAAAATGCTATGGTGATCTGCTACCATAAGCAATAGCACCCCATACGATAACTCCCACGGTGTGGTGAACTTGCCTCTCTCTGTTAAATTATGGGTAACGTGTTTCACCACGTCGCCTTCTCACTCTTGCCCGACCATCGTGCATCCCCAGACAGAAGCGGGATTCGTCACTAAAGACCACCTGATTCCTTTCCCGGTCCTATAGAATTCTTTCTCCACACCAGCGCAAACGGTTGCGCCTATGATCAGCGGTGAGAGGAACCACCCCATGTAGGCGATAAGAAAAAAGCCTAAAATGTTGTATTCGGCGATATACCGTACGCATACCAACCATCCTTCCATGCTCTTCAAACCACTGATTAGCGATGACTCGAGTACTGCTGAATCTGTCTCTCAGAACCAGAAGTCTTAACCGGCGGTCTTGTCTCTCTGGGACGTTCAGAACCCCACGCTCGCTGTCCTTGGCCTTCCTGATTCCACGCTCGTTCACACTGCAGTGTACTGCGTAAGGATCTGTTGATCCTCCTAGAAACTTCTCTTATCGATAGACCGGCTTCTCGCAACCCGACAATTCGACCCCGAAGTCACTTAGCTGGGCGAATTCTACGCATTCTAGGAAATTTGAGTAATCACAAAAAGGCTTCTCAATGAGCTACACGAAATTTAATATTTAAGTGACACCGAAAATGTACGAAAACTGAATGCTTCTTTATCACCAAACAATACACGCAGGCACCACAAAAACAACAGAAAAGCCTGCCCATTTTATCACTTGTTGTTCATGGCAAGATAAGTCGATATGTAAAAAATTCTTGAATTCTAATAAACATACGTAGGTGTTACTTTTTTTTGTCACTCAGTGTATTTAACTTTTGTGACCCTATGCGGAATAGTACACGATTTAGTTTAGTAACAAAAGAGAAAGGCATATTCAAAATTTATATTGTTTCTAACCTCGCTTATATGACGCCTCAGCATCATCAGTCGTATCTAAAGTCTATTTCATCAGTATAATAAATTATACAAATATGCACATTTAATTATATGATCAAAATGGTCACTTTTGTACTTATTTTTAGCAAAATGATTGCATTAATAATTTATACCTATTCAAGTCTGTATGCATATTTTTGTCTAAATGGTTATTACTATATTGAATTGTTGATATGGATTTAAAGTAGATAATAAACATACCTATAATAATAATAATAGTATGTTTTTGTTCCAATTTTACAAACAGCCTCAAGGGCGAGTTCACAATAAATGTGCTCTGCCACTCAACCCCTGCTAATGTAATCATTTGAAATGATATAAAAAAGCCTAGCCTAAACTTAACACCTATAATACACGAAAACAAAACACTAATGCACGGGTCACCTAAATTGAATCATTTTTTTAATACATTCATAAGAAACATGCAAAAGGTAGCCAAAGGTAAATGAATCTGGAAATAGGTTCACGGGCACCTTAAAAACAATGATACAGCCGGAAGATAGAATAGAATATAAATTTATTTTCCAAGGACTATGGTATATACTATAGGGGAAGTGGCCTAGTGGTTAGCGAGCATGGCTACTAATCTGTTGGCCCAAGGCTGGTGGGTTCGAATTTCTGCCTTGTTAGTTCTGAGCCATGAATGTTGTGTTGTGTGTTATCTATATCGTGCATCAGCTTGGTGCAAGATCAGCATAGGTGCATTGCATCCGTGAAGCTGGTTTATTCATTAATCAGTCACCAGTAGATGGCTTGTGCTGGTACTAAGGGGTCGGCAAAGAAGGTCTAGTTGCCAGGGTTTGCCTCATCACCACTAGTACTACTGCATATAGGAATAGTCAATATTACAAATGTTCAAATGCATATAGAAAATTAGACACCAAAATTTTGAATGCGAAGTATTGTTTTTAATTTTAAGTGAATAACTATTAAATTATTAAAGACATATTATATAAAGTTCATTGATATCACACTTAACAAAAAGCGTAAGATAATGTAATATTTTAATTACCACTCATTCAGACACTTATAAAAACTGTCAAAGCTATCCACTTTAACCATTCAATGATTCTCAAGATTTTATCAAAATTATTCCAGAAATTATAGAGAAGTATATAGTGACGAAAATGCCGTGCCTACATAGTTATTGTATCTCTTAGGAAGTACACGTTCAAAATGAATTTATTTTATATTGAAGTTATTGAAATTTTAGTAGATAATTCGTGTAATACACACGTAGTTCGCGAATTACCCACAAGGCCCATAAAACTCATAAGACATATTTAATGCTGTTTTCAATCAATTCACTATCCTAACAGTTGTCCAGATAAAAATGGTCTTGGAACCAGAAAAAACCCTAATGAAGTCGCTTCATATAATAGACCCATAAGGCTATTACTAAATTTGCTGTAAATTGTAAAAAAATTAAATATTGAACTGTTAGTTTGGCTTTTGAGAAAACATGGTACTATTGAGCAATTGCATAGGACTGTGAATAAAATTAAGACCGATTTCAACAACAAAAGATACTGTTCAGCTGCCTTTCTTGATGCATATCAAGTATTTGACAAAGTTTGGCACAGAGGCCTACACTTCAGATTAAAACAATTTAAATACAGTGAAAGGGTTGAAATACACAATAATGTGTCAGCAAACTGATTATATGTGTGTCTAATAACGAATTAGTGAATAGGTTGAAATGACATTGTCATCTGACTTGCTGATAGGACCACGATAATCTCAGGTCATAACAAACATTTAATTTAGTATTTCATAGAGATAACTCACTGGAGTGATACTCTGCGTGTCTTTTTTAGCTTAGATTAGCCCGAAAAACATGCTTCTTGTCCATAAGGGCAGACTGTTGCTTTCTCTTAGGATTTTAGTCTAATCATAGACGGAAATACCCCTGGCTTTCGAAATAATTGTAAAGTCTGGTTTTATTGCTGCAAGTTGTTCAAGGGGGTATTCAAAACATGGACGGGAAAACTTTTTATTCAAAAACAAAGAATGAAAAAACGTGTTTTTTTGGGAAAGTGTTGGCAGGAACGAAAAAACTCTTCATATAAGATTTTTAGGTATTTATGAGACTTATAAAATCAGACCCCACGTAAAAAGAGATTCGACTAATAGCAAAAAAGTTATGGCTGAAAACCGAGGCAAACTGCAGGTTTTGGCACTTGTTGGTAATGCGTCGATGGGATCTCGCAGATATTTAAAATTCTTCAAATTCGGAGGATTCGTACTTCTAAATAACCACAACAAAATTGGAGTAGACTGGTCAAGTAGTTTTTGAGAATTTCTAATTGTTCATCCCAAAACACCTGTTTCCGGTCATCACTACTAGTTTATTGAGCAATAGACGGGGTTAGTTCAAAGGGCATTTTATAGCAGAATACACTAGTATACCTTGCCGCAAACCATTCCGGAAAATAAATGTTATTTTTATGCAAAAAGGGTGGGTTACGTTTTTTCTTCTAAACAAATTCAAACACTTCGTATTTGTGAGTAATGCGCAACAAAAGATGATAGACACATCCGCTTTGTTTTAAAATGTGTATAGTAACGTGTGTTTTTCAAATATCGCATTTGTTCAATTGCTCACAAATACGAAATGTTTGAATTTGTTTAGGAGAAAAAAACGTAACCTTTGTTTTTCACATAAAAATAACATTTATCTTTCGGAATGCTTTGTGATTCATATGGGCAAGGTAAACACGTGTATTTTGCTATTAAATGCTCTTTGAACGAACCCTGTATTGTATATTGCTGAATAAACTAGTTGTGATGGCCGGAAAACAGGTGTTTTGGGATAAACAATTAGAAATTCTCAAAAAACTAGTTGACCAAAATACTCCAATTTTGTTGTTGTTATTTAGAGGTATGAATCATACAGATTTGAAGAATTTCAAGTAGGTGCGTGAAATTATCTTTGCATTACCAACAAGTGCCAAAGCCTGCAATTATGCCTCTTTTTCGGCCTTAACATTTTTGCTATTAGTCAAAGGTTTTTACGTGTGGTCTCATAAATACCTAAAAATCTTATATGAATAGTTTTTTCGTTCCTGCCAACATGTTTTAAATACTCCCTTGGACAACTTGCACTAATAAAACCAGGCTTTACAATTATTTCAGGGAAATTTGCTAATATGATTAGACTATTTATACGAAAAAATGTTTTTAGTGACATGGAATCAGCCCAAGGTATCCTAAATGTCATGACCCAAGCAGGTTTGGAACCAAGTGCAGATACATACACAACTTTGCTTTGTGGCTATGCAGCTAGAGGGGACATAGACAAGATCATGAACATAACTGATGAATGTGAAGCAAAAGAGATTTTTCTTCTAGACAAAGACTACCTAGACATTGTTTATAGTCTTGCCACACATGGACATACTCAACATGTCCCAGCTGTTTTGAACAAAGTTAAGAAGGCTGTAGGATACCCTCAGGTAGGCCTGTTCCAGCAGTGTATTTCAAAATGTCTACTTTTACTCTAAAAATACAACTATAGCTCTTTTCACCAATTTTGGCACATCATAATAAAACTGTCACTATCACTTTTATTCATCCATATGATTCGTCACTATGAAAATGACATCTTATGTGTCATGTGCATGCAATATGAGTCTACCTCTTGTTGATATTTGATATGACTGTTATTTCAGTTAGTGGATAATATCAACAGTTCATGTTAAGCTTTTTGAAGGATTTCCAGAAAGTGAATGAAAACATTGGTCCTCTATATCCCACTTTATGTGTTGAAGAGCAAGTAGCATATATTTGTTGAAGCTTGGTGCAATTTCCTTTAGCTATGAAAATTTGGATCTGTTCTTGGCACAGCTAGTCAATATACACACTAATTTAATGTGACATTGATACACATGAATACATATTTAATGGTTTTTTCAGGATGCTATCAATGTTATTTTAAGGCTGATTAATAAAGGACAAGAGGATGCAGCCTTTATGGTATTGAAATCTTTGCCAAGAATAACCAGGGAGGATGGTACAAATCTGCCATCTGGCATGTTCTTCATCAAACAAATGGTAAAAGCCAATAGACCCATTGAAAAAATCATACAACTCTGTGAACAATTGGAAAAAGAGGAGCTCTATGAACGTGCCCTTCTTCTAGCTGTAGAAAACAGTTTACAGGTGGGCAATGACAAACTTGCCTACCCTCTACTCGAAAAACTCAAAGAAAAAGGTGTGTAACTTGCTTTTAATTACATCTATTTTTCATTTGTTTTTTAATGCTCAAGTTGACTTCTGCTTACCTTCACGATTTATACTTATTGGAAATAAATTTTTGTCAATTGCCCTAAATAAAAGCATAAACATTCGTCTACATGATTCAAACGCAGAATTTGGACTTATTTCGTTTTTTAAATTTTGTTTTTCACTGGCTAATTATACACATAATCGTATCAGCAGTTTTGTTGACCGTCTTAACCTTAATGCTCTCATAATAATAGGAGGAGCATGTCGTTTATTCACTCGCAAAGTAGTCAAACTTATTCACAAAGAAATTAGTGTGTTCTCCGATCTAATATGGCTTTTTGTAAGCCTGCATATATTAAGCATAGCCTAGGTCTTATCAGCACAATTGGGCAAGCTGATGGTGTTTAGATTGACTGTACCCTGAAAATAAATTTAGTATAATTTTAGCTATAGTATTTTTCACGCGTATCCATTGATATTAATCGGGTGTAAATCTAGTAAAATTTGTTTGTAGTGTTTTGTCTTTTGTATGCAAGTGAACTTTTCTAAATAAAAGAGCTTGCTGGCAAGTACAGAATTAATCTGTAGCACAAAAAAACAAAGATATTATCAGATAATCAGCTGTCACAGTACCGTGAAGGATACTCGTGAAATAGGGTGTATTTTGTTTTGATTTTTTGTACACTACAGATTCATTTTGTACCTGCTAAAAGCTCTTTTATTAAGAAAAGTTCATTTGCAAACAAAAAACGAAACACTGCAAACAAGTTTTACTAGATTTACACCCGATTCATTATTGCCAACGTTGCAGACTAACACAAAAATGTCACTTGCTGATCAGCTGTTCACATGTGTGGCATTCCCAAATATGGGAACCTTTTTCATCATCAGCAGTAAATTTAAATAGTTTTCTAGCAAATTCTAAATTGAAAAAACGCCCATTTTCCATACAAATGATTAACTTTCGAGGAAGCATCAAGAACCTTTTTGCTCAATTAAAAAAATATTGAAGCCGAAACATTTTGGTAATTTGAATTGGCGACATGTTGATGCTCATTCTGAGGTCACTCAAGAAAGTTAAATACATGTTGATGCTTATTCTGAGGTCACTCAAGAAAGTAATATGTAAACAATCTAATGGGATATTTTTCCACCGCTCCCGCAGTTTTCGCCTGGAATAAGTAGAAATCTGACTTGATGACAATCTGATTTTCTCTTAACGGCAGGCTTGGAGATCCGACAGCACTACTTTTGGCCGCTGATAGTATCAAAAGCCAACGATCCTGCAGGAAAAGGAATCATTCAAGTCCTGCAGAAGATGCAAGACTTCAACTTGACACCAAGTGGTGAAACAGTTCGCGAATATGTCATCCCTAATCTAAAGGGCAAGAGCAGTGAACTGATTGCCAAGCTACGTGAAGCTAACGTATCCGTTGGTTCTTCAGCATGCAGTCTCGTCATCCATCTTCTGCAGAAGAACGAAATTGACGAGGCGGCAGCATTAGGTAAGATTTTTTTGATGGTTGTCATCAAAACACGTAAACTACTGTTTAGTCGTTGAACTATTGGAAATACAATAGCCACTTTGGCAACAAATTTCAATGGCATTTTTAAAGGTCTGTTAAAAGTTAGGTTTGAAATACGACTCACGCTGCAGTCATAGACAAACAGTTTCGCAAAATTTCAAGCACAACAAACTAAATAGAGGATAACTAGCAGTGTCGTATTTATGTGATTTACATACAAATTTTTAGATACTTCTACAGGGTGGCCGATATGTAACTGACTGGTTTGTATCTTAAATATTTGTGAAATGAAATAAAATACCTCAATTTTTTTTTTCATCTTAATTTTTTATTGAAACTTAGAAATTATGTATGAAAAATAATATCAGACCAATATCTAGACGCCGCGCAAACCTGAGTCCTCTTGATTACATTTACAATCACGTTTTGGTAGAAATATTTTCAATCGCTTCCGTAATATTGTTCTTCATATGTTCTACAGTTTTTGGTTTATTGGCATAAACCCTATTTTTCAAAAATACCCATAAAAAAGTCAGGAGCCGTGATGGCCAGTTGACATCACCAAATCGAGAAATGAAGCGTCCCGGAAATGTTGTTTGCAAAAGATTTATTGTTTCCCTATCTGTGTGACAAGATGCTCCGTCCTGCTGGACCCACATGTTTTACAGGTTAAATTGTTGGATTTGAGGAGCCAGAAAGTTTTGCACCTTATCACGGTAGCGCTCGCCAGTGACAGTAATCAGCAGCATCTCCAAAGAAGTAAGATCCAATGACACCTCTATACCAAACACCGCACCAAACTGTGACTCGACGATGATGTGGCAGTTGATGGATGGAACGATGTCTGGTAGACGAATCAGGGCGCTCCACTACACTTTCACGAACTCTCTCGATATTTTCCGGAGTACGAACAGTTCGAACACGGCCCGGCCCGACCTTGACAAGTCTTTAACTTCACCTGTTTGTTCAAATTTCCACACCAACTGACTAATGGTGTTGACACTGGGCACATTATTTCGACCGAAATCTTGTCGTAGCTTCCGAGTCGTTGCAACAATCGACTCATTATTTAAGTAAAGCATTTTAACAATATGACGCGTTGTGGGATCGTGTAGCGCTCCATGATGAATTGGGCACATCTGCTTTAAACAACTACTACGGTGCCACCTAATGAAATGCGTGTATAAAAAATGGCGCGCAATTTAAATCAGTCATCATATTGGCCACCCTGTATAATTAATTGTAATATTCACTCAAGTGAGATGAAAAAATCATGTTGAATCTGCACTTGATATGCAATGCTGTCACCATTTCATAAAGAATTATATTTTGCGCAAGTCCATAGAAAAAAGTTGGCTATGAACATCCGAAAGGCATCAAATGGATCATGTCAGTCAAACGGGCTCATATAATTACCATAGTCTCCACAGATTTAAAAAACATTGCGATCCAACCTGCGTTGTCGTCATAAAGCTTATCCCAGTCCCATTTAAGTTTAAGTTAAAGTCACCAAATATAAATATACGGTGATTTGAATGTTTTTCCAGAGTAGCTTTAACAACTTGATTATGACTTGGGTACACTTCAAAACTTGACTTAGGTGGTATGTATGCTGACTCAAACACAACATTGGCATGACTTATTTTGACCCTCACAAATACGTACTAAACGTTAGAAAATTCATTTTATATTTCACATAAATCAAATCTGACAGCTGTAGACACACCGCCACCTCGTTTTTTCTTACATGATACATGGTCCCTGTCATGACGATAAATATTGAAAGTATCTGGAAAAACTTCAGCTACTACTTATTGCTGGTGTCAGCCAGGTTTTGGAAAGTAGGATACTCAGAAGCAGATGCAGCTGTATATATGTATCTCACCTTTGTCCGTAATATGATGTTTTATTAACATAACATCAACCTATTAACTGATTTGCACTCTCTGTTCTGTCGTTTTTTTTTTTTGAGTTCATAATACAACCGATATTATCTGCGCTCTCCGTATCTGTTATTCACAATGACAAGATTACTATTTCTATATCTTTCCTTTGATGCTTTTGAGGTGGTTCCTTTGAATCTGTGTAAGATCTGATTATATCTTGACATCAGCGATGACCAATTAATTTTTCCTGCACTGACATTCAACTGCAACTACTTAAAAATCACTTTTGCTGGTCTTAGCCTAGCTCTAGGCCGGCCAACTCTAGAAACAATAACATTCATTATAGTCCAGTTAAATAGCCGAAACTGCCGCAAAAATGGTAACATAGCCACAAAGTTATGTCCTCTGGCGTATTGGTGTAATAAAGGCTTGGGAATATTGTCGTAAGAGTTTGATTTTCCCGAAAAACAGCCGCTTTTTGTAAAACAACGAAAAACCCAAAAAACATTTTTCTTTGAAACGGCTGAGGATATCTGGGATTTCATTACACGTAAATTTTTGGGCCGTCAAAAAAGGTCTCTGCATTTTTTTTTGCTAAATTGCTCAGTTTTCGCGCTACAGCTTGCTGATTGCTTGTTGGCGAGGGGCTTGCTGGTTGCGGGGTCAAGGACGGCGTACATATATCACCAGCGTCCGCACCGTTGATGCGGACGATCCTCTTTTAATTTTTGGACGTCCTCAGTGTCTCACTCTCAGCGATAGGCCACTCGATTTCGAATATTAAGCTCGTTTGTAGTTGTGGCGTTTACCGACGTATATATATTAATGAATTTTTGAAATTTATGCGTTTAAGTAGAGTACAAGATGCAGTAATTTCTCTACAGCCGCTTACCGATTGACTGGATAAGTGAGGTATAGTATTGTCATTTAGAATTGGAATAACGACAAAAAACCTAGAGCTGCAGATGTGAACGTGTATATAAATGAGTGGCAATGATAAGAATACATTACAGGATGTAGAAGCCCAATGAGTCATCAAAAGACTCGTTGTCGAGGCTCCACGTTATTTTCATAATCATCCTCGCAAATCAAGTTGATCACCTGTAGTTCTTGATCTGCGACCATGTTAAGAGATTTAGCAGTTCTTGAGCCGCGTCTATACGTTGGGCTAACATACGCCAACGCAAATATGTAGATAATATACAATGGCCGATTGTGATGAGCATTTGATGATGCTTCTCTGCGCACTCGCTGTGGAAACCAATAATAATGCTCATTGGTCTAGTCCTAGTCTCAATGTATTCGTGTACGTTAGCTTGACGTGTAGACACGGCAGTATGCTCTGCGGTACAACTTATCTGCACAGGCCTTCACACTTTTTTGTACAGCTCAGGGATTTTTTGCGTTTCCAATCGAGAAGTTTCATGATATTCAGAATCGCATAAGTAATGACATGCCAGCAAAATATAGACTAAATATAATCAACCAGTGAAAAAATTATTGAAATCGGCCAATAAATGACAGAGAAATTGATATTTAAATTTGGCGCATTATAGCGCGAAATCATTGCTGCCGTTCGTTCGCGTCTGACGTCACACTTCTATAGTGCCCAGCGTATCGTCGCGTAGGTGTCCGACAGCGTCTGTTCGTTTAGTCATTAGTCTATAGACAATTCATAAGACTCACCTGTGCGCTCGGACACGCGGTTTCCAGTTGATGACTATCGAGTACTGCGTAAGTTCATACCATTATGGACGCCGCATGTGAAGGTACGTAGAGAAAATGTTTATTAGGGATTGTAATTGTTGAGCTCGTACATTTTGGAACGGTACAGTATTTGTAACAACCTTTTTTCTTATTTCGCACATAACCGATCGTATATGCAGTCAACTAATTAAACAAATTAGGGCGGAAGACGTTTAGCCTACCATGTGTCCCGCTGTATGTGTGCCTATGCGTGTGTTTAAGAGATTGAGCTGGCTCTGACCCAGGATCTATCTTGTCTCATGTTTCCTAAACTTTCAAAAAAAAAAATGGTGAACTTGGCCATTATTGATAATGGAATGACTATAAGTATGTGTGTACATTTCAGAGTAGAGTTAATTGAACAGAAACATAATAATAAAAAAATGGTCATCCTATCAGAACCGAAAATACACAAAATTGATGCATCTTCCGATAAATGGTTTGTCCATAATTTCTTGTCTCCAATGAAATATACGGAAAAAATATTTTACTTCAATTCTAAATTGTACTCGCACTTACCTCACTTATCCAGTCAATCGACAAGCAACTGAAGAGAAATTAGTCCAATTACTTAAATGCATAAACTTCGAAAATTAGTTCATTCGGAAAAGTCGGTGAACGCCAAACTGACAAGCGAGCTCAGGGTTCAAAATTCAACTGGACTATTACTGAATAACCCCCATCATGTAGTGTAAGAGATCGTCTGGGTCGTCAACGCATGGACGGCGGCTGCCAGGCGTGGCGATTTATCGCCAAAGTATTGATTTGACAACTTCAAATGGAGACTAAAATTAGCTTGACGATTGGCTACTTTAGTGGCGCCCAGTATCCAGCAAATTGGCGATATCTGGCGATTTTTACCATTCCTGTTATCCATTTTTACCGATATTATAATAATAAATCGTCTTTATTTAGGTATCGAAGTTTTGCAATATGCTACATTTCCACTTGAACCCCACCCCAAAAAAAAAAAAAAAAGAAATACTGAAAAACAATACAAAAAATATAAATACATTTGATAGGTTACAAGTTTAAAAATGTAGGTGTATAAAAATATGATGTATATAACATATATAAGTGAAGGCTATTCAATATTTCATGAGTTAAAAGTATAAAATTATAACAGTTATACAAACAAAGGAATGCTATAATGGAAATATTTTTGTGCGAGGTGACATAAATTTTATCAACTAATTTATAAACTTCTATGTATTCAAAATAAATTTCTTCATATGTCTTTTAAATTCATCATGTGATAGTAATTTTGTGGATCGAGGTATAGCATTGTAAAAAATAATTGTATAGATTAATGGAATATGAAACGAGGACCAGCGGAAGTTCTGTGCTCTAAGCACATTGGATCCGCCCCATATGAATGAACTTATAGTTTCGTTCAGATTACACGTGACTTTTCACATAATTGTTTATCATCCTATAATATTATTATTATGCCTAACCTCCTTCACCTCCGCTCTTCAGTTAACAGGCAGGCTACTATCACAATCTAGTCATTTCAAAGATTGACGATTTCTGGCAATTTTCTCATCAAAACTTGGCGACCAACGTGACTGAAAACCTGGCAACCCTGGTGGACGGTGCGGCGGCAGTTTGGTGGTATGCAGGAATGCAGGTTCTCGCGACCTTTGCCCCGCAATCCCATCACCTAAAACTATCAGCAAGCTGTAGCGCGAAAACTATGCATTTTAGCAAAAAAATTGCAAAAACATTTTTTGATGGCCCAAAAATTAGAAAAATTTACGTGTGAAAAAATCAGAGATATCCTCAGCCGTTTCAGCGAAAAAGAGGTTTTTTGGGTTTTTCGCTGTTTTACAAAAAACTCCTATAAATCCTTTATAACACCAGTGCGCCAGCGGAAATAAATTTGTGGCTATGCTATCACTTTTGCCTCAGTGTCGGCTGTTTAACTGGACTGTTACCTAATTCAGCTCTAACTTGCCAGGCAGATTAATTATCTGAGCCTCAGCATGCTCAACTCTTTCTGTTGGTGTTTAAGATTCACTTTCTTTCAAGTTACCATGATATTTCTTGCTCTGTTACTCCACTCCTGAACCCCCGTTATCATACTTTCAGCGCCATTTTCAGATGTAGGAACTACTCTGCCCATAGAACGGCTTTTTATTTTAAGAAAATTATTTTTTAATTCAGTAACTATATTTTTCAGTTGTCGAATACATGCTCGTATTTGTCTTTCTTATAAATTAGAACGCTGAAATTTTATCATAATCTCACTTTCACTCGAAGCTGGTACTTCGTCGTCTCCCAACGTTAAACCGATGTTTTTTACTCCTTTTAGAGTCTATCGATCTTAATGATCACGGAAAACGACCCCGATCCAAATTCATATACCGTGTTTAACCTCATTTTTTTCACATGCATGGCACTCCCAATTGTGGGAACCTTTTTTTACGGAAATCAAGTAATCATATTCAGACTTAGCTAGCCAGTGCAGCATATATAGAGGAGGAGATAGATTTCCATCATTCAAGTTTTAAGTGCAAGTGTACGGGGAAATCTATGATGTATGAAATATGTCTAACAGGCGCGTAGTATTGCCGGGGTTTAAATCATATAAATTGTTAGCACAAAAAATTGGCATATACCCTCCCCGCCACATACAACTCCCAACATCCAGTTTTTTTCTGAAAATGATCATAATCCGCTGAAACGACAAACTGACGGACATGAATGACATGGTTTTTCGTGACGTTCATGTCCACATCCATTAAACATAACTCATTTAAGAATTTTTTCGCGATTACAATACTTCCTTGTCATCAGTGGCCTAGGAAGTAAAAGTGAAGACGTCTGTGAGAAACCATAAATTTATAAATTTTCAATCCAAATGTTTCAAAAGCTAGATTGATATTCATACGATTAGGTTTTATTTATTATAAAAATAAATTCAAATACTATTGGAAAATTTCAAGTTTCTCGTAAAGGTCATTTCTACACGAGTCACCTTTTTGTGTAATTTCTGTCGGACTACTCATTTTTGTAAAAATTGGTTTGGATGTTTGAGCTACAATCTGTATAAGAACCATCAACCCATTCTGAAATACTATGAAATTAGAGAAATTTGACATTGAAAACTGTTTGTGGAGCATTATGAGGGTAATCCTATTTTATCATATAATTATTTGAACAATATTCACGTTCCCTCTCTATCTCTATTCCTGATCTGTTGCTGAACTTTAACTAAGAAGAGAAAAATATCTATCCAGATAAATGGTTGAACTTTACCAAGAATGATTCGTTCTGGCTCTGGGCTAACTGGCTCTAGCTCTACTCATTGAAAATTGATGACTACGACCGCTCTTTTGTTTTTAGAGATAATTAGCCAGTTCAATAGTATTATCATATGAGTTTCACCAAGAGTTTTTTAATTCTGTCCAATATTTAGCTTACCTACTTGAGTAAAAAGAGTATTGTTTGTGCTTTAGCTAACAGCGTGAGGGCATATTACCAACCAGAGTTGGTCAAGAGAGCCTTTACGAATGCTTTCTACAAAACGAACGATATCAAATCTTACATGTCTCTGTTGAGAACATTCTACGAAGCGGCTGACAGGAAGAACGTCATACAATCGCAAGACGACGAAGAAGTTGTTAGTAGCACTATCGATAAGACAGCTCTGATTGGAACTTTTATCTTAGATCTTACTACCAATCGCAGGTGAGTGGTAAATTTTCAGACAAACGAGTATGTAAAATGTTAATGCTCGATCACCATATTGCTATTTTGCAGAATATTGGAATCACATCAAATTTGTCAATAGATTAAAATTTTCACATTAATATAAACACTAAATATGCTACTCGGTTTAGATAAATGATCACGCAGTAAGAGTTGATCAGTTATTTATATATTAATGGATATCAATATTTAGAACTTTGAGGCAAACAAGGAATGAACGATTTATAATATACTAAGTGACATATAAATCCGAACACCCAGTTTAAATGGTTTTATTTTAATAAAATTTTTGTAAGTATTTAATGAAGCATAATAAGTAAATGATAAAAATTTCAAAATGATTGCACTGCTTTAAAGCCCTTTGACCTTTAATAATGTGTGGATGCACCCTGATGTGCTACGCATTCTCCAACGCGCCTAGGCATGCTTCTGATCAGGTGGTCAATGTCCTCCTGTGGTATCTTATTCCAGGCAACCACCAACTCCTCTCGAAGTGCTTCTAGAGTCGGAGGAGGACGTTGCAAATTGAGCAATCTCCTACCCATCATATCCCACACGTGCTCAATTGGGGATAAGTCGGGAGATCTTGGTGGCCATGGTAACAATGTGACATCATTATGTTGAAAGAAGTCTATTGTGACTCTTGCAACATGTGGTCGGGCATTATCTTGTTGGAAAGTTGGATCTGCCATGCTGTCAAGATAGGGTAAAAGATGGGGTTCTAGAACTTCGTGGATATAACGCTGCGCGTTCATGTTACCTCTGATGAAGATTAAAGGTGACCTGGAACCATAAGCTATAGCACCCCAAACCATAACTCCAACAGTGTGATGAACATGTCTTTCAACAAAAAACTGTGGATTCCTTCTTTCACCACGTCGCCTTCTAACCCTGGCACGACCATCGTGCATGCCTAAACAAAATCGAGACTCGTCACTAAAGACAATACTGTTCCATTCCTGATCCCAGAGTGACCGTTGTCTGCACCACTCAAGGCGATTACGTCGGTGTTCTCGAGTTAAAGCGAGGACCCAGTGTGGCCGGTATGAAAACAAGCCAAAACTTCTCATTCGTGGGTAAACACTTCGCATGCCAATAGGTCTTCCGTGTTCTGCAAACCATTCATTTGCAATGGACCTGGTAGTGGAGAAACGGTCCCTTAAGGCCAATAATCTTAGGCGGCGATCTTCACGGTCTGTTGTTCTACGGCGGCGTCCAGTGCCCCTTGCTCTTAGCGTACGGCCTTCTCGAAACCATGCCTGACAACAGCTAACCACAGGGTCTACACTTCTTTGCACTCTAACTGCAATTGCCCGAAAAGAAAGTCCAGCTTCCCGAAGTCCCACTATACGGCCCCTATCAAACTCACTAAGTTGACGAAATCGTACAGGTCTCCGTACTCTAGGCATCGTAATCGATCGTAAAGGATGTCAAGAACCAAAATCCGCCAACGTTGATTCTTTACCGCCGCTGAAATATTCATTTTTAGAGCGTTAGTGAATTAAAAAAAGCAGTACAAAAACCGGAATGTCCAACTGATAAGGCTGAAAATTTTTTCACTTGTTATTTACAGTAAGATAAATACACTCACCAACTTTTATTAAAATAAAACCATTTAAACTGGATGTTCGGATTTATATGTCACCTAGTATATTATCCCAGGCTTTTTGAATTCTTTTATGGAGATCAACTATATAGGTTGTTTGGTGGTTGGGGGACTGGGGAGCGATCAGGCCATTGTAGCAGGTTTACACTATTTCCTTTTTGGAACCCTTACGAGGGGCGAGAACGTATTCTTAAAAAAAACTGTTTCATTAATTCTCTTTATTATGGCAGTGCAACATGCTGCAGTTTGTTCCATACGTAACTATATTCAAATTTCTGTCGATAAAAGCTAAAAATGACCTACTACCCTATGTTATCGCACCCTATACCATTAGCCCCTAATAAGGGCAGTATGCCGTTCAACAGCAAATTCTAAATTTCATATAGGTGTTGCTGAATTCATCTTAGCAGTGCGAGTGTCACTAGCTTCATTAAAATTTTATAAAATCAAAACGGCGGATTTTAATAGAAAATTTCAAGTCTGAAGTTTCTATTTCATGATGGATTTTGACATACGATCTGTCTCTAGATTTATCTAAAAATCAAAATTGCGGATAATGAACTTGATCCTCGAAATTTATATTTCACGGGCTACAGACCAAATGGTTTAATGGGTTTTGATATTTGGGGTGTCCTTAGATTCGTCTTTATAGTACAATCAAAAATGCATCATTCGTTCTTTTTAAAACTGTACTTGTTTATTAAAATCCGCCATAATTTTACAAATTTTGATTATAGCCAATGTTACTCGCATTGCTAGACGAATCCAACAACACCTGAGATGTCAAAATCTATCAAGCCTTTTGAACTGCAGCCTGTGACTTAGGAGTTTTAATTTTTTTTTACAAAATCCGCCATTTAGTTTTATAACATTTCAATGTAGCCAGTGTCACTCGGACTTTTTGGATACATAGGTTAGATACATACCCACGCGTGAAAGACATCCCTTCTACTGAGGAAGTCGAGTAATAAAACGTGTACACATTTTTTTGTTCGTATTTTTATCATTTCCCAATAACGCTAAAACTCACTTTTGAGCGTTCGAATTTTCTTGCAAATAAGTATAGTTTTGATCATACAGTTAGTTTGAACAATAGATCAGAACCGCAGGGATATTATGTAAAAAACCCGACAGAGTATCATCTAGCAGACTAGGTTGTTTTGAGTGTGCAAATATTTTATTCTACGTTTTCTCGGTATGATTGCTGTCCGCTGACGGTTAAGCAACACATCCAGCTACAAAACGAGTTCACAACAAGTGTACCACAGCTCGTGCTAAGGTAACACCTTGTAGAAAAATCTACGTTGTCATAAAAAACCAACGAAATGTCGAAAAAAAAACGAAAAAAAATCCACTTTCAAGATATGTAATACCCGTGCCGGACATTATTGAGTCTGAAAGCCATCTTTACGTAAACGATAACGGCGTTGCGCAGACTCAAATTCAATTCTAATTTCAGAACCGTTCTGAACCGAGCGGCCTTTACAATACTACCTATACTATAAACGGAATTTTTCTATGACCTACCAAAAGAGTACGTGTAATTGCTCGCAAATCATAATATGTATGTTGTATTATTAGTTTCACAAGAAGAGCTGATTTACTGCGGTTATAGAAAAAATCTTACATAAAACCAATCAAATATTTTTTATATGCCCATACATGCTAAATATGTTTTCCTTCCACAAGATTTTTAGAAGTTGCGGAGCCAATACTAGAGGCATTGGTAAACGAAGGTCTGAGCATCTCAAATACAACCGCGGAAAAGATTGAAGAGAAGTTGGGCGAGAAAATGACAGAAAATATCTCCAAACTGTTAGGCAAACTAACATCTGGAGAACTGACACCTACGCCCATCAATAAAAAGAAATTATCGTATGTACCTTCACATCAGATGAACATAGCTCAACTTGAAAGACTGGTACAGAATCTGTCATCAAAGGGCCAGGACGTTAAGGGCCTGAAGAGGCAGCTGTTGACTCTCTATTATCGAGCTAAAGATCTGAACAAGACTGAGCAGATTTTGGAAGAGCTGAAGCAATCGTCTGACTTTGTATTCACAAACGGTGAGCTGGGTTTTATTAAGAAATTATCATTATTGTTGCGCAGTTAAAGGAGACATATTCATCTGATCTGTCATATAAGAGCTGGCACCAGTCATACTTTGAAACTATCCATATATTAGAATGAGTTACCCAGGAGGCGTTCAGCAGTCGTGCATCTCACTTTCCTCTTTACAAACTCCAACTTGACATTTTTTAATGTACTGTATAAAACTATAAACGTTGCTTCTGATTTGGCTGGATAGAGCACAATATGGATAGGTAAGTATGTGTATGGCTATGCTTTATTGAAACAACAAACAAACTGGGATGGAGTTTAGACTTCAGGTTTCTCCTTCCTGGCAAATTCAATTATTGTTTTGATATTCAAACTCAAATGAAAAGAATGCATTCATATAGGGCCAGTGACTGGTTCAATATTGTCTACGTCATCAGACTCAGAAAACATAGATTAATGTTTGGGAGATGTTCTGATTTTAGTTTTTCATTCATAGCTGTACCGCCACTGGACCGATTTTCAAATACTGTGAAGCTTTTTTTATCCTTGTAACCTTGTGTCAAAATGTAAGCACGCAAATTTTAGAAGCAGACTACATTTTGAAGGAGGCATGAGAGTTGTTTAGTTTTCAAATGTACAAAATACAGGGTGTCCGCAAAGTTGGGGTTTTCCTTTTCAGAAACAACTACCCTTGAAATAACAAAGGTAATGTGTAGTGAAACGAGGGCGACCAAATAAAAAAAAATAAAGGAAAAGTACTCACTCTCCAATTGACGAGAAGGGCTAAGTACGTCTCTGCCCGAAATCATACCGCTCCAACAGAAAATGAAATCAGCTGATGCGCTACCGAGCAGACGCAGGCAAACAAGGAAGGCAAAATGTTGCGTAAAAAGTCTAGGTCTAGGTTCACCATGCCAGCCCAAACATTCACCGAAAATGTTTGTTGAAAATGTGCCCGACGGACAGCGTGCGGATTTTCTACTGACCAAACATGAGTGTTGCGAAAATTATTCACCCCATTACGCGTGAACGTAGATTCGTCTGTCACCAATATGCACTTCAAAAAGTCCGGATTATTGTCATGTTGATGCAACAACCACTCACAAAACCGCACTCTTGCTGGAAAATCGTCAGGTTGAAGGGCTTGTACACGTTGGACGTGAAACGGATACAGCCCCTCTTCACGCAGCGTTTGCCACACTTTAGTTTTTGATACTTGCACTTCTCTAGCCACGTGTCTAGTGCTTGTTGAGGGATTCACGTCTACGCGATTATCTCTACACGCGTGACCGTAACCGTCGATTGAAGGTTGCATACTGACCTGACACACTGACCCCGACCCAGTTCTGTCGTCGGGTTGAGGCTAGTGTCCTAGTACCACTGGGGGATGTCGCGGCTACAGGACGGTATTCAGATATTTTTGATGTTGCAGAGCCCTTTATCTCGGTTCCCTTAAGACATTGGTGTATATGGTACTAAGAAAAATTGCTTATGTTTTCAAGATCTACACGTCGTGTAAAGGAAAACCCCAACTTTGCGGAAACCATCTTTTTTATCAATTATAAATATATTTCACTAGCCTAGGCCCGCGGCTTCCCTAGCCTGGAAGTATTATAAGGTATGGGTCATTCGTTTTGCATTAGTGTGGAGGAGATTGGTATCAGAGAAATTAATGCAATAGCTATTTTGGCAATGAACATTTTTTATTCAACATTTTAATGCAAGAATAAATTAATTCCAATGTATCGTTTTTATATATTTGACAAAAAGAATGGAGTTTGATTTGTTCTTGAAGTGACCTTGAACGTCATAGTAAGGTTATTCGCAAGGATATACTTGAACTTAAAATGCTCCGCAATTTGCATTTCAGCAATTAAAAATAGATGCTTGCCTTTACAAATTCATTTGATCTTTAAATGCTCTTGATGATTATAGTCAAGGTCACGGACATATTTGAACCTTAGCTTAGATAACAATCAGCTATAAAACTCCCGTAATGAGTAGTCCTAGGCGGTGTTGCTGCGTACCATGCTAGCTGCCGCAGATATGCCTTACGATCATAAAAACGAAGCGACAGAGTGTTGATGATTATTTAAGAAAAAGCTTCAGACTAAATTTGTAATGGTGGGAGGCTATCAGTATTTACAATAAACGGAAACACGAACACATCTCTGTACCGCTTTACATGTTTCAGCAGTAATACTTATTTTAAAATGATGCCACGATGGTATCATAGAATTGCCCCCCCCCACACCTCATTTTGTTTCAAAATCAACTCGTATGAATATTTTTAATGTTTATAGCATTTGATGTTTGGATTTTTTTGAGGAAATTGGTATAATTTTAATTTGCTCCACAAATCCGAATAACGGAACGGCCATCCATCATCCAAGGATTAAAACTGGTTTTTGTTTAATAAATCCGAATGGCGCATTAGTGGCGCCGCCCATTATGCAAAGGCTAAACCTGGTTAGAATAAATGATTTACAATAGGTAGCGCCAATTGTCAGGGCTTTTGGATAATATATGAATTTTGCTATCATAGGGTAATAGCTAACAATTTTGCCACTTTTACACCAATTTGTATGTCATAAAATCGCAATTATGAATACAAAGTATTAAATTACGTTTTACCGATTTTGTATTTATGCTTACAATAGATTGGTAAATATATAGAGCACTGTTCATTAGCTTTACCAGTTTCCAATCTTTACTCCCATGAAATAATCTTATACTTTTTAATTGTTCAGGCACTGTTCTCGTAGTCTAGACTCATATTTTTGCCATAGATGTATTATATAAGCCATTTTAGGAACACAAAAAGCATTATTTAGATACCAATGTTATTGAAATTTCCAGTCTCTTGATCTAGTGAGTATAAAAGGTTTTGAGCATATATTTTGTGGTTTTTCATAAATAAACAAACATGCTCCTTTTTTGTTATTGGTTCACACAAACTACTCAAGATCATATATCGTAATATTATAATTTTTACGATTGAACGCTTATCTGTCGCCGCTAACAATACCGATTAGGACTGTTGAACAGCGGATTTGTGGAACAAATTACACCAATTTCTTCAAAAAATCTCTACACCAAATGCTATAAACTAATAAATAATTCATACGAGTTGATTTTGAAACAATCAACAAACAAAACAAAAAAATATAAAATTATCGGATACGGATGGGATTTGAACCACTGACAAAAAAAAAATATAAAAACCCGTGATTAACGCGGCTCCGACGCAGTGAGTTTCAAGCCATTTACAAGAGTTCAGCTGCTTCAAAACTGACACTCCATTTTTCCATTATTTTCAATGAAATTCATGCAGTATGTTTAGAAGATAATTGCCCAGGGTGCTATAGGAGCACTTTTTGAAATTGTGTTTTTGCACAAGTTTTATGATGGGTTGAAGTGCGCACTTTTTCTGTTCAACTTCGCGATTTTTTTTAAAAAGAACCTAGGGAAAAAAATGAAAAAGTGGCTCTATAGCACCCTGTGGGGTTTTGTTTTCAGCACACTGAAAATTTCATCCAAAAATATCAAAAAATAAAGCGTCAATTTCGAAGCGCGCAAACCTCTAAAAATCGTTATTTTGGACGAATTTTGTCTACTGTTTCTGCTGCCAACACAGCGTTGCGGCGCAATGTACGGACTAAATAAGGACGTATTCAGATAATTTGGTGGCCCTATTTCATATAATATCGCGTAGATAACTCGTTCTGCAAATAGGTACTCATAATCGCGATCGCTGATACTCCTCGATTTTAAAGCCGTTTTACTTCCCAAGCCATTGGCGAGGAAGTATTGTAATCGCGAAAAATTTCTAAAATGAGATGTTATGTTTTTTTAAGTTATATGACATCTACATCAGGAAAAACTGTATCACTCATCATCAACTTGGAAATTACCGCTCGGATTTTTATGAAATTTCCACACTGCCAAAGCTTTGTAGTTCTACTCCAGTGGCAACGGTGCTATATGCAAAAAAGAAAAAGTAACAATTGCTGAAACTCCGTTTTTGACGTTTCAGGGGTTCGTAATCATTGACATAAAAAAATTGTGTTGCTTCAAAAGGAGGGTTGAAATCAGTGAAACACATTCTATTATTGATGTTGATCCCAGTGATTACAGGAAATTTAAGTAACGAAAATCCGACGAATAAGGTGCTCACGATTTGAAAAAATCGGTATCTGCTCTATAGGTTTGACACCAAGAGCCAACAGATCTGCAACTACCGACAGTAGGGAAGAATAAATTCGGATATCACTTCAGTCAAGTATAGGGGAATTTAGGGTGGAACGTTAAAATTATCGATAGTCAAGGAAATATGTTCTTGAGAATGATAATTTGGTAGATTTTATACCTGCATTTTCATTTGAATTTCATGACCCGTGAAATGTACCCATTTCGCCGTTACCTTCAATTTGTGTTCTGCAGTTTGTGATGTTTTTCTGGATATAAGCAGGGTGCTATCAGAGCTTTTTACAAAATTTTGTATTTGCGCAAGAATTATGGGGGGTTGAAATGCTTAGTATTTGTGGCCAACTTCTTGATATTTTTAGAAGATCCTAGGGGATAAAATCGAAAAGGTGGATCGCTGGCACCCTGTAGACTTTGTATTTAGCACGCTGCAAGAGTTTCATTTGGAAATAATAAAAATTAAACGTAAGCTGTGAAGTGCAAATCGGTTTTTGGGCGAAATTCATCTACTGTTTCAACCTGCCAGTCGTGACGGTGCGTTCCGAATAAGAAAAAATGTATTCAAATAATTTTATATCTTTCCTAAAATAAATTCAAGAACTCAAATTCAAATTCGTTTATTCATGTCAATAAACACAATTATGTTTACAAGGGTCATGTGGTAGATGGGTAACAATTGAACGAGGCTCATAAAAATATCTTATGCAGTCAAAAGAAGAGAAGATTGCCTTTTTTTATTGCCTTACTAGAAAACCCTGTTGGGTATATGATGGAGTTTACTAGAACTTTACAGCTTGTTGTCTGCCTTCTCATACAAACTTCACCAAATCGAGACGCTGTCAACCTAATCTTCGTTTAAGATGCCACAAAGTACAGTCCTGTGATTTGGTGACTTGTTTGATCTGCAAAACCTCGTCGTCACTTTTTTTAAGTTTCCCTAAAAATTTTCGCTTTGCAACCTCCAAATCAGGTTCTTAACTGAATTCGTCATAAAACTATTCATTTTCTTTGGAATTGCTATCCGAATTGTTAGTTACTTTTTTATATCAGCTTTTTCTGGTCTGAGTTTCTTTTCAAGATTCTTGCGTTTGAGTTGTTCCATCTTAGTGATAAGCGAGGTTGGACTAAACTTAGCACGCAAATGGACCATATAGACAGACCGCTCGGTATTGTGGCTCACTACAGCTGCAGCACATTTTCCATGGTATGACCTCTTCTTGCAATAATTTATTCGCTTACCCCAATGTATTTTGCGATTGAACTGCTCCACATTATTGTTTTCCTCATCAAGAATTAAACTCACTGCATTCGTAATTAAAATTGTCGCATATGACCTATTATTGTCCATTAACAACCTTGATAAAAAAGGCACTCAAGAACAATCACACCAACAAGAGTACAGCACAACAATTCAACAACACAATTTCGACGAACAGTAACCAGGGTAGAACAATACTTAATGATCACTTGCTGAGTACCAAAATAGGAAACGATTTACATGCTAGATCGCTATTCGAAATCCGACTCTGTTATTATAAAAATTTACCTCGGTACGCACCCGCAGTCATCCGTTCCTCTTTTAAAGTAGCGCCGACAACCGTCTAAGACCTGCCCACCCTCGTTTCCTTTTCACCCCCCCGTTACCTCAGCAGATGATACTCGTGATTGTAGGAGCCCCGTTAAGGCTACGTACGCCTCGGTACGGGGCTACAGACACTGATGCTCAAATTTGCGAGAGTGTCATCATATTCCAAAGATCGGTCCCTCCTATGATGATTTATGTCTGTGAAAAGGAATAATAACTTTTCTTAAAACTTTCAGTAAATGCTCATGTGGTCTCAAAATGACATGAGGGGCAAATGCTTTGATACCAGAATAGCATCCTTTTAAAAAAATGTTACTGCTGTTTTCCTTAATTTCTTCTACTTAAGTAAATCAAACAAACGTAACTAGTTTTCCGTGTAATGTAAATACTGATAACATTCCACCAATACAAATTTATTCTGACGCTTTTTTATAAATAAATAATCATCCGTTGTTTCGTTTTGGACAAACACGCTCTTTTTTTATTATTGGTTCACATAAACTGCTCATTAATTCATATTGCAATAAAATAATTTTTAAAATTGCAACGCATATCTGCGGCCGCTAGCATTCTGCGCGGCAACACCGCTTAGGACTACGGAGTACGGAACGCTGAAACCTGTTTCACCGTTGTACTAGGGGAATTTACATTCGACATTCTCCTCCGAAATGGCGGTCGTTTTTGACTCTGTCACGAGAGTTTCATAGCTGACTGTTATCTAAGCTCTGCTGGAGCATGAATCTTTTCGCTATTTATTTACGGTTTTAAAAAATACGGGTTTCCATTTAAGAAAACTGTCTTGGCCTTCAAATGCGTTTGGAAGTCACGTTAAAGGTCACCATTAGACTCTCCAAGCCTTACATTTTTATTTCAGAACATCTTTATGAAACCTATCTTTCGAAACATTTGACCTTTCCTTACTTTCTGGACACCCTCAAATACCAATAAAGGTCATAGTCAAGAACTGCAAAGATATAATTTAACGTAAAATGTTCCGCTCTTTACATCTCCAGTGACAGAAATAGGGCTTTCATTTAAGAAAACTGCCTTGACCATCAAATGGCTTTGAATGAACTTTGTTTTACAACATTTTTCTCTAGGAAACGCATTTTTGGCATATTTTCATCTATCCATACTTTTTGAACATCCTGTATATTTTTGCAGATACAACCATGCCTATATCCTTCCTGGGTTGCGGTTCACAGTTTATTTTGGTATAAACGGTCCCTTGAAATGTTCACATATCTAAAGTGTGAAATATATTTTATTATTACATATTTTTTCATCAGGTATGTATGCACAACTGTTGGATTTGTATGCTTACCATGACAATTTGGAAAAAGCCATGGAATACTATGAACTTCTAAAAAAAGATGACGGCGATAAGTTCACATTGGATGACGGAAAGATCGTACGACTGGCTTGCCTGTTCATAAAAAAAGGCAGAATTGATGAAGGAATCAAAATTTTGGAGACCACTCCTAGGGACGAAAAGAACGAAGAGCGGAACTTCACCTATTCAGCTTTGGTATGTGCACTTCATTGAATTTAACTTTAAATACGATACATTTTATTTCCAAGCTGTTTTTACTGAAAATGAAGAGGAATACTACTATACTGGTTCAATTTTCCTCAATATATCTCTCTCACACTCACTGGCCGTCCAACCAAAGTCCTCTATGGAACTGCGGCCTCTTAGGGCACTCTGCATTGTACCTCGCTCCTTGAATTACTGAATTTACAGTACCCAATCCAGCAGTCAAGTATTTTGTACCAATTGATAGTTTCCCGTCCGGTACTGTTCTGAACTCTCTCGGTTCTTGTTTTGGTTTTCCGAAGAGTTGATGTCTTCATGTGATCCAGCGCCTCGCACTCCCATAAGACATGTAGAGATGAGTCTGTTCCATTTTCGCATTGTCTGCATCATACAGCCCTATTTTGCGCAGGTGTTTTTTCATACCATTGTGTCCTGTTAGAAATCCTGTAACTACACGGAAGACATACTCATTAAGTAAAATATTTTCTGTTCATATGAGCGGTACTGATGTATGACAGAGAAGGAATCATCTGAAAAATGTGCAGGTGCATAAGAGATATCAAATGTAGGACACGATTTAGCAACGTCCGAATGTGGCGAAGTAAGGAGAATGATGCAAGAGACTAATAGCTATTGCCGGCTGCTGGGGGCTGAGTGGCAGGCGTGGCGATATTTCACCCAAGCGGCGAATTCGCTGGCGATCAAAAAGCATAACGAGGCGATTGACAAGTTTGGTGGCGATCACTGTACAGATATTTGGCTGCTCTTGGCATTTCTGTCGCAGTATCTTGCGTAATTAATTATTTATTCTGCCACACTATACTCGTAGTTCAAACTTTTATCACACAATAGAAAACAATCAGAATGTTCACTCTCCAATGCCACCGTTGACGTTTCTAACCATTCGATTGTTCGGCTAACGCCATGTTTATTGCGGAAAACACAGAACCGGACTTGTGAATTTGAGGGCCTTTAAACAAGACTGTAACTGAAAATTTTGACATCTACTCAAGGATGTTACATTGAGATTTGAACACATTTTCAAAAAATAATACTCAAGTGCCGCACACACGCACACGTTTCATCCTTACCCTTCATACACAAATTCACGAACTTCGAGTTTGGTCTGATATTCTTAACAGATGTCAGCCTCCAATCTGAATAATGAATTTTGTTTTTGATCGCATTTAGTGACGTCACCCGCGCCTCTCAAGGTGCAAACAAAAAACATGTCTTTCGCTTCATCATTCCACAAACGTCAATAGTTTCAAGAGAAAACATACTGCGCATGCTCACAAATATACACTGTCATCTTGTTGGGCGCCTCAAAATCTCTATCGATAAAGAATTTGAGTTTCGGTACTCTTTGTGCTAATTCGGTGGATTGGAGATTTTCGCTTTTGTGATTTTGGCATCAAAGGGTTGGAGGCATCTACCGAGTTTCATGTTAAAAAGATGTCGGCCTCTGGAGATTGTCTCGCCAAAAGGTGGAGACAACTATAACAGGAAACCTAGCAACCCTGGCGGGTGGCACCTGGCGCTGAGATACGGATCGAGCAACTGTCGTCAGTTCAGTTTTCTTTTCGCTCTTTTACAGTGTTGCCACTGTCCATATTTCATATTCCTCAGAAATCCAAGTCATATTCCCCGAAGAATTCCCCGAGAAAAAACTGCGAATTTCCCACAAAATTATTTTAAGAAATTAATTTTAAATTATTTTTATGGTTCAAATCACACTTTTTCTATGCATTTGTTTGAAGCGTTTTTCTTGATGGATTGAACTTCACACGTCTGCCCAGGTGATTAATCCCTTCGCTTGTTCCATTAGAGATACTACAGAATCTATATTTAGTGATATCAGAATTTTTATATTCGGGAACAAGTAGTGAAGGCTTAATGCCAATTCCCAATAAATCTACTCAGTTTGATCTCTTTTCATTAATCAAATTCAAGCGGATAACCAAATGGAAATGGTATTTACCATTTTGGTTTGGTATTTACCGATCCGTTCAAGCGAGTGTGGTTATCAGTTTGGTTATAAGATCCGTGACGTCGTGAATCAGCTGCTACATGCCATAGTTATCACCGGAAAATTGTGGTATTTACCCAACTCGAGAGTAGTTTTATATTTCTGGTTATTATTTGACATGTGACAAGTTAGAATTTCGCCGGGTATTGGATATTTTTATTGTACTTCAGCTTCATTTTTGGGAAACTTGGTACAGCCTGACTTCAGTTTTAGCATAAGAGAGCACCTTATTATTTATAATCATTACTGTTGTTGGGGACACTTTAAATCTAGTTCCTACGCTTAACAAAGTATCCTGTATAGCCATATACCACAAGAATATTAAAATATGGCCGTATAAACTCACTGGATGATGTCCACCTGTATACGGTTTTGTTAATATCTTTTTTTCATCGCTTTTTCATCATTTCTGCTAAATCAATAAATATTTTCTTTGTCATGCGGAAAAGTTTAGAGAATTGAAAGTTATCATAGCTACAAAGCCATGATTCCATCAGTAAACATATTTTTTTTCTGAAAAAAAAACATTCCTCCCATTAATATTATGAAAGTTTTCTTTTTTTCAACTTTCCATACCCCGTTGTAGACGAAAAAACACCGATTATTAAGTGATAATAAGAATAATCAGAAATTATATACGCGCTTTTCTAAAATAAACAACTTCCAACAAACCGCGGTTAAAACCAACCCGTTCAAGCGATTCGAGTAACTGACGTCATCATCCCGTGTGTCATCTTGAACCATATTATAACCGCGGTACATAATACGGAAATTTTGGTTATCCGCTTGGATTTGATTATTGTTTCACGTGTCATTATTCTCCTACTAATGGTGGAGAGTTGATGTATCCATCACACTTCAACCTGATTATTTACATCGTTCGACTGACTTAAGCAGTTTAAGTGATTTCGAGATTGCACAAAATCACTTAGACCACCCTACTTATTTGTATGCATGGATGATTGCTTTGTTATGTCTCATAACTGCTTACGAATTCTCAAGAGGATAGGAGGCTGTATTTGCTAGACTGCTTTAACAATTTTCACCTGTAGGCTATGCAAATATGTGCTCTTATATTAAAAGTGTTAACAGCAGTTTTCGCATAACCCCATAAGAAAAAATCATTGGGCGCTAGATCGAGGAGGCCACTTTATTGTTCCGGTGCCGCCCATAATCCGGTTGTCAAACATACTTTCTAGGTAAACTTTAAAAAAACTGATTAATTCGAAGCTGCATGACTGTGTAAATCAAGTCCAATTCGAAAACTGTACCAAAACAAATTCCTTGGTGATTGCAAACAAACTAAATGAATCTTTTGTGGAAAGTATTCTTGATATTACGCGTACTGTCAATGCTGTACCTGACTATATGAAAATCAGTTTCCAGATGGAAATGTTGCATACACTTTCAAAATTTCATAGCAAATCTTTGAATTATCTGAGAAAAAAGTAAACAGTTTAAAATCCAAGAACAACTGTACCAAAATCACTACTGAACGCGTGCTGAAATTTTGGGATATCCTGTATTAAATTGGATCAATTGTTCACTATGCCTGAAAATTAGAAATGCTCTACAATAACACCAGTTCCCAAAATGAAAAATTTCAAAAGAGACAGCGATGTGAGATCAGTAAATGTATTACCAGACATTGAAAAATTTATTGGAGTCCGTAGTGCATGACCAATTAATGCAGCTTCTAGAAGGAAACAAAATTTTAGTGGAAACACAAAGCAGGTTTTCGCAAAAAATATTCAATGCCAAGCTGACAATTTGCAGGAACAACCTGTGTCTGCAGCAACGCCGAACATTGATTAATGTTATTACCTATACTTCCTGCCCACGGCTTCAGTTTCTGAGGAGACTGTGTGCGGACGGGAACACAGATGTTTGTTCTCTCGAGACCAATACCAAACGACTGAGGGATTGTGGTGGTCGTGAAGAGAACGACTGAGGGATTATGATGGCCGTGAACAGGGAATGTGGATTTATCAGTAAACAAAATGTTGTTGATAAAATGTTCATCCCTGTTCGCCTTCTCCATGACAGTTTCACAAAACTCCATTCGACGGTACTTCGCGGAAGGAAACATTTCCTGGACCATTCCAACTTTAAAGTTGTCGTAGCCGTTGCGATGAAGAATATTTCTGGTTGTTCTTGGTGAGAGGGGCTATCGGTACCATTTCAGCAAATTGTCTGCTTGAACACTGCTCAGATCCTTCTGCAACAGCACAAACAACAGTTTGGATCTCTTCTCTTTGCTCGCTCATTTTTGGTTTCCAACCTTCAGGGTGCATACAGCTATGGCACTTACATAGGTATTTATAACTGTTCCGTGAGACGGAATTGGCTGATCTGGAAACTATACCGCAAATAGGTCAACAACTGCGCTTGCTGAATAATTTTGGATGTACCATACCACCATTTGTAACTTTTCTTCTTCCGAGTACATTTTTTGACATAGCACATGACACACCTTCAGAGCTCAAAAACAGAATGGAGCTGTGCGCGTTGGTGGCGACCAATGTTGCCGAACCGAAAAAGATCAAATCGGTAGATAGTGTCATTGGAATTGTGTAAATTCAAGAAAAAATCGATAGGAGGAAAAAATCATTGCCGTCGCAAGATCAGCAGTGGATGAAGGGCATTTGCGTCACGCAGCGCCGTCTGTGAAAAAAGTCATTTCTTTTTTGTATTATGCGCGCACACGCAACACAGGTTTTTTTTAGAGCATCTTTTCCTTTCAAAAGATTAGCTCATTTATCAAAATTTGTACAAAGAGCATACTGGTTGCTCTTCAAACTCCTATCCAGTCATCCTGGAAACTCCTTTTTCTATTCTTGGTTATAAGATGTGTATATTTTTCTATTCCCTTGAACTTGAAACCCCATTATCTGACATTATGATTTAATATTTAATTATTAACATGAAAAATCATAGTAAATGTATCTGGTGCCAACTTCAAAAAAGTGAAGCTTCTTGCATCAGATGTTATACTAAGTAATTACTTTTGATTTATATTTTCTTATTAGCATACATATTGGCAAAAATAAGTCAGCGGTCGTATACGCCCGCCCCGGTATAACTGACATTATCATTCCCTTAGTGCCAAGCGGTCGACCTGGCGGTTGTCTTTAGCGAGTTTAAGCTTGTGAACTTCGGGTCAGAAACCTGAAATAAAAATGCTTTGCAATTGGGTTAGTTTGTTTTTGTCGATCATGCGAAGGGGAACCTCACTTTTGTTTAGACTGTTTCAGCCGACACTTATTCAAATAATATTCAGTCGCCTTATGTAAATCGAGATATTCAATGGCCTTGTTTTGTACTAAATTCCCCGGGATTGCATATGTTTTTTTATATATATTGTTCAATAAAAGTTAAAAAACGACTTCAGACATTATTTTCACTTTCCCTTGACACCGAAAACCGCTAACTTAAGCTAGTCCTGCATGCCACAGCGGTCTTTTGTCGTAATAATTATATGCCTATCAACGACCGCTGGCACAGCATAAATGTATTTTCAAGGCAAATGTGAAGCGGTAGCATACGACCGTCATGCATTCAACCTGTTAAAAGCAGACGAGCTGTGAAATGCGAAATGCTTTCACGGTCATCATTCAATGTTATACGTTTCGCCAACACGAGTGGTTGGCATCTTCAGAAGGTGTTCACAGTTCGGAGTAGTCAGTAGCTCTCAGGACTCCGAACTGTGAACACCTGAAGATGCCAACCACTCGTGTTGGCGAAACGTCAAATAAAAATATTTTACGACGGCCTAACAACCCAAAAACCAACTAAATAACACAGACGAGCTGTGGTTTCCTTATTATTTATCCGGTGATGAGGTAATGAGGGTGAACTACCGTCTGTACCTGTTGCAGGCTGAAAAACCAATTCAGGGAATGCGGAGTGTGCCTACATAATTATATGCGACCCAAATATACGTCCCTCATCTGTATATGCCTAACTGTACCGTTACCACCGAGAGAACGGTGGTAACGACTGTACGAATTATGGCCCATAAAATTACTTAGATTATGACTTAGTATTCAATATTTCAGCTTTATTTTTTATTATACATCTTTTTCGGTAAAAAATCTGTAAATATCTGAACTATTTTAAAAACTCATGGAAAATAAAGACGTTTTCGGTATTTCGATAAATAAGGTCTCATTTCCATAGGTTCGGCAACGCTTTCATCATAGATGATATCTTATTATATCTTGGATAATTTTTTTGATGCTGAAATACAGTACGTAGTTGGCTATTCAGGTAGAATACATTAATTGATAGTTTTACACAATAATGAAATTGACGAATCCATCATATGATCAACGAAGTCCGGTAATGCGAGGAACAATGACGCCATGGTGATAAGGCAAGGTGCGCGGCGAACTGAACTACTCCACTATGTGCGTGCCCTGTCAATATACTGTTCAAATGACATGTACGTCGCATCAAAACAAATATGAGCATTCAATCGCCAGCTTTTTTTGTTTGTCCTAAGCATTTTTGGTCCACTGGCCAATAGGGGCGGGAGAATATAACCATCTCCCACTGGTGTTTGTTTTGATGCGTCATCGACGTAAATCAGATTAAAATATATTCAATTATGTATTCTTTTTGATAACAGCTGGAGGCAAGAGTTATTTTCAAATGTTAGATAGTGCTGTTTCATTTGTTTGCGCGTTTTATGCAAATATTTTATTGAAAAATCTTACTTCACAACTGCAGGTATGGAGGTTCTTGAACTCGCTGGCCGAGGAGGGCAAAGTAGAAGAACTAAACAAAGTGTTCGATGCGCTGACCAAGCACGACTTCATACAGGTGAATAACGTGCTGCTCGGACCTCTGATTAAGGTACATCTCACTCGCGGAGATCTAGATCAAGCTTTAGAGAAGTTTGAATGGTGCGTCAAACAGTACAAATCAACACCATGGAAGAACGAACTGGCATGCAGGTACCGTAAAATTTCCCCAAATTCAGCTATCGCTTCACACGTGCCGGTAAATTGCAACTTGTTGCCAGCCCGTATCGGATGAGATTGAACAAGAATGATACATTTATATTTATTTGAAATAGTTACTAAAATTATCAATTAGTTAAAGGATTATCATCTGTACTATATTGATTTGATTGACTATTTTTGCAAGGATTAAATGCTTTAAAATCGATGTTTATTACGTTTTTAGGAAGCTGACTATACAGGCAAGTTTTTAGAGAATTTGTACGGTCAGTACCTATTTAGTAGCTAGTCACAATATTGTTCCCAGGGAAACTGGAACTGAAAAGTATTTTATTTATTTATGTAGGAACCCAACATCTGTCGGTTAACAGGCAACGAAAATCGTCCAAAGAATATCAGCCAGTATATAATTGACGACAGATATATGTAGGTGTACCTCGTCCAACAGTTAAAAACCATCTTCCAATTTTTTTAAAACTGTTAAATGTTACTATGTTACTATATTATGATTATTACACGGACCTGGGATACGTAGGGAGATCATTTGTAAATGGGAAGGGGAATCATTAGTGCTGTACACGAAAAAATGCCGCAACAGATTTGTACGTTTGATAAAATTAGATAGGTTGTACCTACTTGGAAGTATGTCATTGTGTATGCATCTTTCAGGATATGCTCGATCTTGTGTAAATCATAGATACTACACAAAATATTCGATATATACCAGATAATCTTTATTTTCTTCATTAAACCATTTCACAAGGATATAAAACGTCATTATATACACAAAAAATATACAATTTTTACACAGTACAGAATATAAATGATAAATTAATACAATAATATCCAACGGCATTCCATAATAAACACAGAAATTACACAATTTTTACACAAAATGATATATAAATTATGATAAAAATTTAGGTAGGTAGGTAGGTAGGTGTACTTGCATCAAACCCAAACATCAACCTGGAACAAGTGTTTATTGCATATAGGCGCGCAGGTACTCAGTTGCGTGCGCAGAACGGCCGGCTGAAAAGCAGCTCTGTACTTCTGTAGCCAGTTGGGTGGTCACCATTTGACGCTCGTTCATCCAGTGTTCAGAGAGAAGGAGTACTTGTGTTTTTTTCCTCATGAAGTAAAAGTTCCAAGCGAGGAATTATAGTAATTGATGTGAAGGCTTATGAGGTTTATTCTTGCTTTTGTTGTATAAGTCATTATTGGTTTGAGCAGGGTAATGTTTCTTCTTTTCGTCTACGCCACTACCATTTCCATCGGGTTTGCCTATTTAAGATTACCTCAGATTTATCTGCTCAAGTTTTCTTTGTTTCATTCTTTCTTCTTCATTTATTTGTTTCCTCAAATAATCTATGGTTATTTTCAAAATTAATTTACGCGTCAACAGTACTGAGATTTCATGCCCTCTAGAATAAGCTGAAGAGTTCACGTGAGGCTGTCTAGCAGGATAGACATATATCTCGAGCTACCGCATAGCCATTTACGGTACTGCTTAAAAAACCTTTTTTTTGTATATACATATCGCGATATCACTTAATTTGCTATAACGCTACTACGGTTTGCCAATCCATCAAGGGAGGAGCAACTACTACAACTAGACCGCCCCCCAAGACTCTAAACTCAAAATAGATGTAATTTAGATTCTATAGATGACTATTACTATGAGACGTCATTTATAATGTGACCTTTTTTCTGAAAAAAAAAAATGTATTTTGAAATTAGTTAATCTTGTAATATGTTATAGGATGGCAATTACCTTATCTACAAGTTTCTTAACCACTTAAAGACATTGACTGCTAAAGTAGCAGCCAACAAGCTTGCAGCCGCTAAGCCGCTACACTACGGATTCTGAATTTCGGATTTTTTAAAAACTGTCATCAGATTTTTATCCATTATACGTTATTTCAAATCTTAAAAGGTATAGATCTTTTTGATCCCTTACACAGAAAAAATTACAGAACATGTTTTTGATAGAAATATACCCAAGCTGGAAAGTACCCGATAAATGTCGTAAAGATTCCATAATTATCTGTCTGCTGTTTCATCCTGTATGTTGTGCTACCATTTAGTACGAATGATTAATACCCAAAACTACCATCTCGAGTCTACCAGGGAAAAAAATATCAATTAGTCTGTACCTTGTATTCCCCCATAGCTCCACAGTACCCTATGAGTGTTTAGGCCTTCTTGGTAGCTATAGTATAAAAAAACCTAAACCTGTTGCAAGAAAACTTTATCGAGTTGCTAGTTTGACGCCTGTCGAGGCTTTTGGTATATTAATTTCTAAATGGCTCATATGATTATAACTGATGTATCTCTCATACTAAACGCATTTTGGTTTTTTGGAATAAGCAAACACTTTGAGCTTGTGTACCCAATACGTTGCCATTGCAACGTCCCCTACCTCAACTGGCGGCAATGGTAGTTAGTAGCTGGCCAGGCTCATGAAGCAGAAATCTAGGGAATGGTTCGTGATTTCATTATTTTTTTTTTCTGTTTTGCCAGTTTTCATTATGTGATATGACTGCCATGATGTTGCTTACCAAATTGTATGCATATTGTTGGTTGTCAGAGCTGTCCGTAGGACCTTACTTCTTGTGTCATAGTATCAGTTCGTAAGTATGTCAGACGTAGTGACCAAGAAACCCGACAATGCTGAGGAATATTAGTGGTATAGTTGCGGAGATTGTGAGATGTCAAAAAGAGACAAACAAACCGTCTAAAAAAGTGAAAGGATTTTTTGAAAAAAACGCCAGTCTTATCTGAATTGCAAAATTTTACCCTGTTGACGAAGTTTAAGCAGATACGTACATGGTTTCAGCAATTACTTGATGAGTGGGAGTATCAAACCATTCTTCCTGACTACCATTTTGCATTTACAGGTTAATTCAAGTCGAGGATGCTGAAAAACTACAGAAACTGACTGATCTTAGTACACTAGTGCATGGTGAGGTAAACAGTCTCTATGATTTGGTGTTCGCTTTCGTCGAATGTGGAAGGATTAGACAAGCAAGGAAGATTTTGGAGACACCTGGCTTACATAACAGACCTCAAAGGATAAATAGTGCTTGTGAGCGGTATCAGCAAGAAGGTGAGAATAAAGTTTACACTAAACCTTTATACGATGTTTTCTTTGAAGATTGATAGTGCGTGCAAGGAACATCTACTTCATGATGCACGTACTTCTTCGCATTTATCGTGCAATTACCTCCAACTAGCTTGACAATCTGACGCACTATGCACTATCAGTACCAGGTTTAACTATTCGTATTCGTTGATTCTTAGCTGTCAAATTTACGGATACTTTGATTGACCAATTTTTTTAAGGTCTTGTTAAGCCTTTGGAGGGCCTCAAGGACGCAACAAAGGACATGGACCATATTGACAGATCAGATATTTACTATCAACTCCTACTCAGTTATATTAAGCAAGACGATACTGATAAAGCTTTTGGACTCTGGATGCAAATGCAGGAAGAGGATTTACTACCTTCTGACCAATTCCTGAGCACTTTGGCAGCACACTTAAATGAAAAAGGAAGAGAGGTAATTATGATTTTCATCTTGACTTGTATCTGTTTATACTGCGAAATTATAAATATGTTCCGAATCATAACTATTTGGCTACTGCCCCAGTCCACAGCTGTCAGTAGTGGGGTGAAAATTTTATGAGACATCTTGATTTCCTTAATATATCTTATAAACAGAACAAAATGAATGCGTATCGTATCTTGTAATATGATTGATCATCAATAATCAATTAATGTAGGTCAAACCTGACATGAGGCAAACTTCAGTCATTACATCGTAACAGAAAAATTGACAATTCTAGATGCAATCTACGCCATTCTTTACTCGACCTCCGAACGGTAATCATCATAAATGGCAATGTGTCCTTAGGTTCTGTCTACCTAACGGCGGAATTCGAAATGTAACCTAATCCCTCGTCAAGCACACACCACTGAACAGGCAACAACAAGCCATTGTTGCCATTTATACTAAAATACACTGCATATGATGATCGGACTGTATAGTATTGGTGTTAGCATTTTGTATTATCTAGATATGAATTATTGATTCCTAAATTTTTTATTCTAGGTTCCATTCGTGGTGTCTGAAGAATCTTTTCAAATAATACAAACATCACAAACAAGCACACAGCAGCACCAACAATCTTCTCAATCAATCTTCAGACAATGCATTAAAAATGGGAATTTGGAGGAGGCATTGAAGATGAAACGTACTTCGAAGGAAAAATTCTCTGTCGTCGATTTATCTGCATTGATTGAGACATTAGTGCAAAAAAATCAAGTTCAGGAAGCATACAACATAACCATGGAAATTTTAGACAGAGGGAACTTGCCTGTTAATAAGTACGATTCTGATATTAAATATACATTTCATTTACTCAACATTTAATTTCAACATAAATATGCATTGTCTGTAAACTGATTTTCCAAGCTCAAACACACGAAGGATATGTATGACAAGCTATTCAATATTTTGCAATATTTTTCCTTTCGACGTATTCCTATGTTTCATCAATATCTGATGTTAGCTCCTTCATTGTTTTCTGTAAATTGGACAAGACATACCAATCTGATTTTAAAGTTTAGAGTTACATGATTTTATAATTTCCCTGGCCACTGATTAGAAATTTAGTAGCTCATATAATTCCGATTCGACCCATATATTGGATAAACATCCAATATATTTTCAGATATATGTTTTTGTTTCATGGAAAATAAAATTCCGAACTGGCTGGTGTTTGTCGTCTATTCCATTTCGATCAATATTGATGAAACAAATTTCACAGTTAAATTAGCTGAAATTTTAGTATGTTATTTTCCATATCACTTTGCAAAAAAAATCTTGATGAACAGAAGCCTCTGGTATCAATGGTTTTAGAGTTAGTGTTACAATTCAAAGAAAGTAATTCGGGAAAACATCATGCGGTCTCTTTCAGCGTTGATTAGAAAAGCAATGAATAGCTACTTTAATGTTGTAATGGCTATTTCAAAAGGTACAACTTCGCAAGTAACTCTTGTGCTGTATCATGGTTTCTTGTCTGTTGATTTTAAATGCAATTGTGACGCATCTACTGAATGTTTGTCATTGTTAAGCAACGTATTTTTAGTATTTTGTAACAAATTCCATAAGAAGTTGACCAATGTTTGATGTTGATTGTGTTGTTAATGTGATTGTTTCAGAACAGCGGCCTTTTCTGTAATACTTTACGGAATCAGTATTGCATACAGTATCTATGGACACACTTAGATCAGAGTAGTTGTATCACGAGAAGACACTTCGTGGAATGCCTCAATAATCCGCCGATCGATCCCATTGACCTTGGGAGTCATCTACATTATAGTAGGGAAACTGTCGTAAATGTTTTGTTACATCATCATGTACTGATAATTATGATATGATAAAAACTAGTCACATCTTATGCATTGTAATGCTAAACAGCAAAGTAGCCGAGTTTTTTGCATTTTATATTTTTATATAAGTACGTTATGTATCCAGAGCTTTCCGGTCGATCCGACTATCAGAGGTTTACAAATAAAATCAGAAATCGTGCAAAGCTGCCATAAAACGTTACATTTATACTAAGCAAAACGGAGGCCAGCTTTTTTTCAGTTTTGTGGTTACTTCAAAAGGTTATATGAAATAAATAAGCATGTCTTGAAGCCAGGATGCCTAGATAACTCGTGACCATGTAAAATAAACCGACGATTGGTCAAATAAGCAATTTGAGGTTAGACAACTTTTTAATTTCAGCTGATGTACTTCTTTTATTACTAAACTGTATGATTTATGGTTTAGCTTTATTAAATGAAAAATATATTTCCTAGGCTGCAAATGGATGATAAATCCCCACCATTTATTTCCGACTAACACCTGTTTTATGGACGCCATGTTTCTTCAAGTCATCTCTTATCCCTCTCTAATTTTATTCAACTTGTCCGTCTTCTCTATATATAACTACTCTTTGGTCTTAGTTTAACTATTTATATATTCTTCTATCTGTTTTTGCAGGGTGTTTAGATTTTTGCTGAACAAACTGGCTACAAGTGGCGACATTGCTATGTTGGAAAAAATCGGCTCAAAACTTAATCCAGAAGTGAAGAAAATCGTATCGTTCGATAACAGGATGTGTCACGCGAACTTGGTATCTGGAAAAGGCAAAGAATATTTGGAGAAACTTCAGGAAGATATTGATAAGGCTACAGAAGAGACCTTGCCTCATATTAGTGAACGGTTCCCACGAGGAGGAGCTTACGGAATTTTGGAAAAACATCCTGAATTGATGGATAAATGTAAGTATAATACTGGGTGACTCAGAAAGTTGGACCATGTTCTCAATTGACAAAAGTCTGGGCTCTCCTAATCTGCCTAAAGGCAGAAAGTTCTGTTAAAAATAACATAGTAAGCTTCTATAAATATTGTGAAAGCTTTTATAGCCACATGGGTCAGAAAAGCTCGACGGTATTTCCCTGTCGGCCTTTCCTGTCCAAAATGTGAAATTCTTCAGAAGCAGCATACTCACTAAACCCCTCAGTGGTTCGCCACATAACTCACCATGGTAATACTGGCAGCATTTCTTCATGGTCAGGAGCATTGTGCTATTCTGTGTTTGATACCAAAGTATTAGTCATCTACTCTGTGTTATACACATACATACATACGTTCATTATCATGTATCTAGAAATACAACCAAGCAACTAGGAACCTGCTGCTGGCTCCTTGGTCAATCCATCCATCACTTACCTGGCTGGCAAAATTGTTAGTGGTGAGCCTCTCGCAGGGCGCCAATTCCAGCTCTCTGGTAGTCAATCCATCTACCAAACTCGAGTATATGATTAGGAGTAACCTTATCATTGCAATGTACTCTCTTCATGCAGCTGTCACAACAACTATGTCCTGCGAGGTACTGAACAGAGTAGTAATCTATCTGCATCGCTCCCTTTTCATTCCAGGTTTTAATGTCTGGAATCAATCTTCTATTCCATGCACCATGACCATTTGCATCGCATCACTCCTCCTGCAAATCAATTAGGGAGAAACCGCAACGACCAGCAGAGGTTGCTACCCCTGCCACAATACTACATCCGTTGATACCCATCTGATGGCATCAGCCGTATCAGGAATGCATCGATATTATTTACTTTATCAGTGGTGCGCCGTATACGTGCAGTCATTTTCAGATCTTTGTCGAACAATGCACCCAGATAGCTAATCATATTTTGACTTCAAATCATGGTGTTTTCAACTTCAACAGCCAATGCCGTTAGATTCTGTCTGCCAGAGTGTACAGCTTTCCTTCTTCTCAGAAGCTAATTTCAAGCTATTTTCTTACAACCTATGGTAATTTTCATGATTCCATATGCCAAAAACCTTTCTAGGATACTTCTCCTAGTGACAATCATGATCAGATCATCAGCATACCATATTAGGCGGATTCCCAGAAGCATCTGTAACCAAATGACCCCATCATAGAACACTTTCAAAAGCAACGGCCCTTCTTGAGAGCGGCAAGTCATCTAAAATCAAAATACTTTGTTCAGAAATGCAATAAATGTGTCAAAAAAGTGTGTGTCGTAAAAAGCGTCAAAATATCCCAGATCCTACAGAATTGGTGTAAATAAAGCCACCCTCTTTTTTCTAATTAACTATAAATAACCTTCGTTATTTTTGTACATACTATATTATTTTTTCAACCGCCATATATGCTTTTACTTATTTAGATCGTAGAGTAGTCCAGTTAAACAGCCGAAACTGCCGCAAAAGTGATAACATAGCCACAAAGTTATGTCCGCTGGCGTAATGGTGTAATAAAGGCTTACGAATATTGTCGTAACAGTTTGGTTTTCCGGAAACCATCCGTTTTTTGTAAAACAGCGAAAACCCCAAAAAAAAAACTCTTTTTCGTTGAATCGGCTGAGGATATCTGGGATTCTTTTACACGTAAGTTTTTCTAATCTTTGGGCCATCAAAATAGGTCTCTGCAATTTTTTTATGTACTGAAAAAAGAAAAACTGATAAACAATACAAAAAATATAAATACATTTGATAGGTTACAACTTTAAAAATGTAGGTCCATAAAAAATATGATGTATATAGCATATATAAGTGAAGGCTATTCAATATTTCATGAGTTAAAAGTATAAAATTATAACAGTTATACAAACAAAGGAATGCTATAATGGAAATATTTTTGTGCGAGGTGACATAAATTTTATCAACTAATTTATAAACTTCTATGTATTCAAAATAAATTTCTTCATATGTCTTTTAAATTCATCATGTGATAGTAATTTTTTGGATCGAGGTATAGCATTGTAAAAAATAATTGTATAGATTAATGGAACATGAAACGAGGACCAGCGGAAGTTCTGTGCTCAAGCACAATGGATCGGCCCCGTGTGAATGAACTTATAGTTTCGTTCAGATTGCGCTTGTCTAACTCCCTTTTTAAGGAATTGTTTATTATCATATTATGCCTAACCTCCCTCACCTCCGCTCTTCAGTTAAGATGCAGGATACCTGGCGTTTTATGGTTGACTCGTAAACGAAACTTTGCGACCAACGTGATTGAAAACGTGGCAACCCTGCTGGACGGTGCGGCGGCAGTTTGGTGGTATGCAGGAATGCAGGTGCGCGCGCCCCTACATTTTAGCAAAAAATTTGCAAAGACTTTTTTTGATGGCCCAAAAATTAGAAAAATTTATTTGTAAAAAAATCCCAGATATCTCCAGCCGTTTCAATGAAAAGGAGGCTTTTTGGGTTTTTCGCTGTTTTACAAAAAACGGTTGGTTTCCGGAAAACCAAATTCATACAACAATATTCTTTCCTTTATTTCACCATTACGCCAGCGGAAATAACTTTGTGGCGATGTTATCACTTTTGTGTCAGTTTCGGCTATTTAACGGGACTAGAGGTAAAACCAGGATATTTGGAAACTCGGCACCAACCTTTTAAGGGGTGATAATACACCCTATTTGGAACACAATAAGCCACATATTCCTTAGTATAAAGTCAAACCATTATTTGAGATACGCGCAATTTTGTGAAATCCCAGAAAATAGCCAAAATCGTGTGTTTAACTATCGCTTGTTCAAAAATAAAAAGCAACTCCACAGTTCTATTATTTTTCTCATTTATCTTGATGCATTGTCTCCCTATGCAACAAGTTTCTAAGTTATCGTAAGATGACGCACGCTTTACAAGGAATGGTTTTAGTTTTCTGAATGGTTCGATTTTGCAGGGCCTCGTGGATTTCCGAACAAATTTATGAGAAAGTTTGGCGATAGTGTAATTTAAAATCAGTGAAATCTTGAAACTGAATTTTGGACCAGTTAACCTTGACCAATTGAGGTCAAGTTATATATACACGTTTGGTTCGCGTATAATCGTATCCTAGTACAAGCTCGGAGCTATGTGTGATTTTAATACTGAAACATACTGAAATTTTGCTGGCGGGTATTCAATAAATTGTTTTCGGTGTTGCTATTTGGAGTGGAAGAGTGTTCCAGCTAGATTTGGTGAACCAGGAGTTTTTGGATGCAGGCCTTTTTGACAGACAGATTTAGTAAGTCAAGTCTTTTCCAGAAGGTAGAATAGATATAGAGACACCAAATGATGAGAAAGATAGTGATAAAGTAGAAACTGAGAAAATATTGCATGAAAAAGGTTTTTGTTTAAAAGAAATACTCAAATTAAAAGACTATACAATATCAATTCAAGAAAAATTGATCAAGGCGTTATATGAAAAGATTGAATCGTTACAAAGACAAATTGAAGATAAAACGACAACGCCATGTAAATCTTATGCAGATATGGCCAAACATACAGAATAGCAACATTCAGCAACAAGCGGGTTTTCTAGACCATTCCCTATCTTTTAGTGATGTGAAAAATGGACGAAATATTGATCCAAATGAAAAACCAACAATGGCATTTAAGGATCCAATAATATTAACAATGTGGTTGTTTCTCTACCTGAACCACAAAATACAATTGTTATAAAACCAGTTACGGGAAATCAAAATTGCCTTCAACCTAAGTACGTAGGTATTGAGTAAATATTTTAATACTGCCAAAATGAATGTTTCTATAACAAAATTACCGATTTGAAAGATGAAGCTGTGAAAATTTTATGTAAGAACATTGGGCAAAATTATAAAGTTAACGTTGGTCGAAAGAAATTTTCTATGATTAAAGTCGTCGGTTTTAGTGAAGAAATGGGTAATGAAGATCTGATTAGGGACATAATAGAAAGAAATAGCGTTATTGGTTATAATTCAGTAATAAGAGTGGTGATGATTAAAAAATGAAACATCGATATCAGGCTAGCTTGGAACTAGATGACACTACAATTAGTGAAGTTATGAAAGAAAGTATACTTTTTATATCCATGGATATACATATGTACAATTTTTGAACATTATAACCTCCTAAGATGTTTCAGTTGTGCTGGTTTCCACCATACTGCAAAAAATTGCTCCAAGAATGGTATTTGTTTGAAATGTGGTGGAAGTGGACATCAACCGCAGAACTGTGAACTACCAGAAAATGAAGGAACTTATCCAAAATGTAAAGAATCTAATTCAAAATATAAAACAAAATTCGACATACACCATTCATAGCAGCATAGTCCAAATGGAGCATAAAAACACAAGCCAAAGCATATTAAGGTGATAAACCATAGCAATTACAGGCTCTCTTTAACTGAAACACATCTCGCAGATGATATTGACGATGAAGAAATTGGAATTGAAGGCTATCAAATTGGAAGAGCAAACCCAATTTTCAGACATACAGGTGATATATTATTATATATTTTATGTGAACCAGAAACTGGAGTACATGAAATTGTAGCTGTTGAGTACCACTGGTAGTACATCATGTTGAATTGAATCTTAAGCATAGTAGAATCACGTAACAGAACAGTTGTATAGTTGTTTTGTAATAATTTTGCATAAGTAGACTACTAAATTAGTATTCACTGTAAATACCTCAAAATATCGGAGAAAAGCCAAAAATATTTAAAACCAGAGGTGTTCAAGTTAAGAGCATGAAGAGGTACGTCCGTGGACCTGTTGGCGATAGTTTCCAGGGCCGCGGAAGTAATCTTCAGCCATTTTACCATATATTCCATTTTGTCATTTGGACATTTCGTCAATAGTGTCAAATCAAATTAAGAAACTAGTCTACAGAGTGTATAGGGTAATCCGGAAATAGCCGCTGGAATAAGGGAACATGAGTCAGACTGTACGAAAGAAGAATAAAAACATGAAAGATCCTGAAGATGGGGATA